AGTAGTACTCGGGCAACACTGAGATTCAGCATAAAGTAGTGTGAAGTTACATTTTAGCATTCATAAGCCTTATGGACACAGCTCCTACACCAGCAATAATGCCAACTAAAGTACAAGAACATCAGTCCCAAACCACGCAACCTGACATACAGTCAATCCTCCCCTGCCTTATTCTCTCAATTAAACCGCCCGAGGCCGTGGTATCATAAGCTTAAGACGAACACAATCATCCACACGAAGCTCGTTTCCCGTTCAAGGTATTCGTCCCTACATCCTCCTCCTGCCGCCTTTTTTCGTAGTATAAAACAACAATCCGTAGTTCCCCCACCATACAATTAAATTCCGATAAACTCCTTATTTCACACAACGGCCTCCCATCTCTCACAACTCACTGTGGGGCACCAATGGCACCGGCGCCAGAAACCTTGGCCGCATCTTCGGCAGCCTTGGCCTGACCCTTCTTCTCTAGGAGCCCACTCAGTATCTTCAGATCCACACGGGCATCCTTCTCTTCTTCAAACACCTGGCGGATGACACGCCACTCGGTGGGCTCCATGCGAAACGCCTGCGCCATAAGGAACGTCGCCGTGGGAGCCGTAATAAACTCGCCCAGGATCTCTCTTGCGACCGCCTCGCCTCGAAGCTGTTGAGCCTGGCGCTGCTGCTCAGAATTGAGTGGCTGGGTGGAGGTGACACCAGCCGTTGGTGCAGCGTGGGCGGGGGACTGGGTGGCAAACATGCCTTGCGGTGGCTGGGGAACGATGGGAGACATGGATGGCCCTTGGCCGCCGAGTGACAGCTGGCGGTGGCTGTGATTGGATGGCATAGATGGTGAGCCGCTGCCATCGTAAGATTGGGCCAGCGTGGATTGGTTCTCTGGCTCGCGCACGACAATGGCGATGATCAGCATTGGCTCTGTACGCTCCGTGGGCAGCATGTTGTTGTCGAGGTTGCTGAGAAACTCTGGTCCGTTATCTTTCCCGGGTGGCACTGGGATAAGGTACGTGTCGCGCACGTTCGCAAGTGTCTTGTTGCCGACGACACCATATCGGTTTTTACTGCGGAAGTATTCGTAGAGCTGCATGAACTCGTTGGCCGCGCGCTCACCGCCAGATGCAGAAAGAGAGATGACTGTGACATCGGTCTTTGGGCTGTAGCGGAGACTGCAGAGATACTCAGTCGCTTTTCCGGGATCGATGCGGCCGGCGACGGAGAGACGGGGGTCCAAAAGGTTAGACCATGGTGTGCCGACGGTGCTGAGATCTGCGCCGGCAATGTGTCTAGCAGTAGCACTGAAGTCGCAAATAGAAGTCATGACCATACTACCGCGCCAGACGACGGATGGATCTTCCGCATGCTCAGGAGGTTCGTAAGGTGGCGAATCTGCCTCTGTCCCATCGTCAAGAAGCCTGTCGATATCGGGGTCTTGAACCAGGTTTGCTTGTGGAGGTGGTGCTGCCATAGATGGCTTACGTGAATGCTGAGAGAGAGTTGGTGATTGGACTTTGGAGTAGACGCTGTTGATGTCAAAGTTGTCGGCCGCGCTAGCCTTCCTCTGGGCTGACTTCGTCTCCTGCGAGTCTACCGATATTGACTGTGGCCTTTGTGTACCGCTAGGAGTGCTGTCTTGTGGGTGATAGTCGTCAATATCCATTGGGAGCTCAGGGTGCTCGTCTTCTCCTGGCGAGTTTTCTCGCGATCTTGCGCCCATTCCGTGGTTAGGATCTAGCATGCTGCGGCGGCGGCTGGCTGGCATCTCCTCGGTGGCACCTTCATAGTGCTCGTCCTCGATAACCTCGTCTCCTTTGTGCGTGCGCCTTATACGTGGCCCATCTTCTTCGGTGATCATTATGGCTTGCTTGTCAGCACGTGCCTTCATTTCTGCAGTTTGGCGTTGGAGTTCTTTGGAGGCCATCTCATCTTCGTTCATGACCGCAAGGACGCTTGGCGTGAGAGACCTTGATAGCAACCGTTCACACAGTTCCTGATTAGTCTTCAAGTTCGCCACCACCTTCTTTGCTTGAGTGCTATACGCAGACTTAGAGATGGAGACATCGTGAATTGCTCTCTCGATTTGAAGCGCAAAGCTTAGAGCTCGTGGGTCAACATCCTCCTCGGAGCCTTGAAAGCTGCCATTTTTCAGAGAAATTTTGAGAGAGTACTGAAGAGACTTGTTGAGAAGTTTGGCCGCTCCTTGTCGGGAGCTGTCTAACTGCGCGATTGTTTGTGCAAGGTCCTTGGGCACATTTTCCTCCGCTGGTGCAGGTGAGGCGTTTGTTGATGACACCTTGCGTATTTTTGGAACTTTCAAGGCCTCATCGTGAGACTCGTCTCTAGTCTTGCGTTTGGTGCTTCCTGCACGACTGGCGGCTTCCTTCTTTTCCTTCTTGGCCTCGGGTTGAGCGTCTGGCGTCTTTGATTTGCCATTCTGTGGCGTTTCGGCTCTCACCTCACTGACCCTCTTACCCTTCCCTTTTCTACCCCTCTTGTTCTTCTGTGCCTCAAGAACAGCTTGGTCGTGTGCCTTGAGTCGAATCTCCCACAATTTTTCTCCACGAGCCATGGAGTCTAACAGCTCCTTGTGGTTTTCTGGCTTGCACCTCTCGCACCAGTACTCCATGTTCTCGAGAACATCTTTGTCGGTTGTAATGCCCATGCACACATTGTGTTGCCAGGCCTCGCAGTCTGAGCATGCGATCCAGTCTTCTCCAGCGGAATCGTCTTGTTCCTCCGCTCCGCACACACAGCGAATGACATCTTCCTCTTCTTCCTCTGCGGAGGCTTCTTGAGAGGAAACTTTCTTGGCAGACGCCTTCTTTCCTCCGCGCTTCTTCGATGGTTCGGCAGGTTGGTCGAGTTGATCGAGACTCTTCGTATGTTGACCTTTGGTCGCGCGGACCGACCTTCGAGGTTCGTCTGTGGGGGGAAACACGTTAGCTTTGAAGCTCTGAATGCCGCACACGCCACGCGCATACACTGTCGCGCACGGCGACGGTCGTGGTGCTTGCGATCTATGCTTACCAGACATATTGGGTGATAGTGTTATCGCGATTTCAATATATTCACAGGCGATCGCGCTTTACAATTGGATTCCAGTCAAGTCAAGCGGCAGTGTTCATGCGCGCATCACTGGATCTACGGGCAAGCTAAGGTGTAGAAGGCAAATGAGCTATCCAGAGAATGAAGCCCTCTTCAATGCCTGTCTTTCAACAATCTCCGTGGCGCGTTGCGCAACGCAAGTTCCTGCGCGTTTATAGATTCCAACCAGAACGCGCCTTGTGCGAGTATAGGGGGCTAGCAGACAATCAAACAGCGTTATAGCTGTTTGCGCACAAGACCCAGAATGTTGAGGGTCGATATTAGTTGTCGAGAAATCGCGGGCAGAGATCGTTCGCGATGATGATGTTGTTTTGGAGTTGGGGGCGAGGCGAAGATAACTTAAGTAAGCTGTTTTTGGGGCAAATCTAACCTGGCAGAACCCCTGTCATATGAGTCACGTGATATATATTTAGCGGCTTGGTCCAAGCTCCTTGCGGGGCGTGGCTGTAGTGGCTTCGCGTCGCATGGAACTCTTGGCAGCTCAATTGGAACATAAGAAGAAGCTCTACGTAAACAAAACTAATTTCGACAAACAACCCTCTGATGGCTGATGTACGAACTCTGCTACGGAATGAGCGTAATGCCCGGCGCATCAGCCATCGGCATGCAAAATACTCCGAGACAGGGAAGCTACAATGCGTAGTATGTCATGTTGAGCTGAAGAATGAATTGTTATGGAACGACCACCTGCGGTCTGAGAATCATTTGACACTCCTAAAAAGGAACGGCCGCGAATCGGGTTCTCCAGCTGGTTCCCCAGAACCAGAACCTGCGCAGACCAAAATTAACAACGAAGAGAAACCGAAAGCCGCCACCTCAGCTGAAAAAGAACCCGCAGCAAAGCAAACCAAGAAGCGCAAGGCTAGTGATGATGATGAGGAGGAGGAACAAGCGGACACCAGCAGGAAACGAAGCAAAAATGTACCTCTGCCTGGCTTCTTACCCCAAGGATTCTTCGACGACGCCACGAAGGCGGAATCCGAAGCTGCCCCTTCCAATAACTCCAATGGTCAAGAATTCAGGCTCCCCTCACGTCCAGCCACTCCTCTTAAAGGACCAGATGCAGTGCCAGAAGCAGCAAAGCTCCCCACGGTTGACGAAGACGAATGGGCAGCTTTCGAAGCCGACATCGCGGCAGCTCAAGTCGCGGTAGAGACAACAGACGATGCCGTCATAAGCGCGGCGCCAATGACGACAGAAGAGCTCGCGGCAAAATCGAGGGAGGAAGAGATGAGTGCGAGGAAAGAAAAGGCTGAGGCGGACTTGGAGGGGGATAAGGAGGATGCTGTGAGGAAACTGGAAGATGAGTTCGAACAAATGAATGAACTAGAGGAGCGAGTGAGGAGGTTGAAGGAGAAGAGGGAGGCATTGCGGGTTAAAGAGCCCACTACTGTTGCATCAGAACCTGCAGAAGGGGGTAAAACGGAGGCCTCAAATGCTACTCCAGAGGAAGAAGATGAAGACGATGATGACGAAGACGATGATGATTGGGCAGGATTCCGGTTGCGTGGCTAAGGAATATACGGCATGGTTGGAGAGACAGACAATTTAGTCGAAGTCACTGTGTAATACTACAATGATACCCCAATAGCTTTGCTAACGCTCATATGTTATACAACTATTTATTTCCCGTGACAACCTATCCCACTAGCCGCACTAAGGGGCTGGGGTTGGGGCTGGCGCGTCTACCTCGTCAACATCCATCTCCATTAAATGTCCCTTTAACCCCTTCCTCGTAACATTCATGGCTCTTGCAATTTCCTCTTCCTCCTCTCGCATCCTCCCCTTTCCAAAAGCCAACGTCTTCTGCTGCCTTCGCTTCTCTTCCGCAACCTTCTTCTCCCGATCTTCCAAGGCCTTCTGTCTCCTCTTCCTCTCCTTCCTCTCATTCCGCGCCTCCTCATCTTCCTCAGCCTCTGGTGCTTCCGGTGCCGGAGGGAGCGTAGCGATGAAAGTCTCGATCAGAGGGTCTCGGATAGAAGGATCCATGGAAATGTACTTTATATCCGCCAGTACGGTTGGCGGAAGATGCGAGGGGAGGGTGGAATTATTAAGTAAAGCCGGTGGCTGGTCTTTGAGTAAGTTGAGGAAGTCGGATTTGAGTGTTGCCTGTGGGAGTTTGATTCGATTGATATGCTCTCGATAAGACTTCTCGCGGTCTTTATCAGAGAGGTTGGTATCGCGCATCTCTTGCTCTTTTTTGAATTTGCGTCTGAATTCGGGCCAGTACAGCTTCGGTGTTGCGTTCTTCTGTAGGAATGCCAGGTATGGTATCCTCGGGTCTTTCTTCTCCTCCCTCGCCCGCCTCTCACGCAGCTGTTGGATTTTTTCTGTCGACCATTCGTCCCAGACTTCCTTCCTGCGTCGCATTGTGGTAACGGCAGTATATCTTGCGTCATCGACTAGTGTTCCCTCTTCTACTATTCTATCCCACGGTGCGTAGGGGCTCACACCGGAGTCGTTGAGCAGGTCTTTGAAGAGAGCAGTTGCATCCTCTTCCGTTAGTTCCATACCCTCGGCACCTTCTTCCCACTCTTCCATATTGCCATCGTCGTATTCGCCTGGTTCGAGGCCGTAATCTTGGCCCATTGCGGCCAGTTGAAATGCAATGTCATCCTCTGTGAACTCAACGGGCCCTTGGGGGGCAGGTTCTTCAGTCCGTTGCCTTTTCGAAATATTATCCTCATCCTCGTCATCAGTAACTTCCACCTCTTCATATTCCGAACTATCATCAGCCTCTGGATGGATTTCAGTGGGGGCTTCTGGCTTCGGACGTGATTGAGCCCCTGGCATCTCTTGCGCCCCTGGAGCTTGAGCCGCCTCAGCTGACCTTTCGTCTGCCCAAGCAGCAGCCTTTTCCTTAATACGTTGTTGATCAAGTGCCAAGATACCCTCCTTTAACTTTTCCGGTATACGCCAAAAGCTCTGGTTCTTCTCGGAGTTGTACGCAAACCGCCTCCCGAACTTGGTATCGATGAGGAACCATGGCTCACATCCGGGAATAGCACGCTTTGCTTTTGGCTTGTCAACCGGCTGCGGCTTCGGCCTCGAGTCGCGCTGTGAACCATGGCCGCCTCTACCTCCTCGATGACTATCCGGGCCACCTCTACTGTCGTGATGGCCAGAAGGAGGTCCAAAAGCAGAGCCCGGCCCCAAATTCCCAACTGATTGGTACTGTAGGAAGCCAAGTGCGGGATTGTTAGGGGCAACAGCAGGGACTTGAGGAGCCGGTGGCGTTTCAACAGGCCGCTGGTATGTGGACTTCTTGGTAAGAGTATTATAATAATAGGTGTGACCTAGTCAGGGTGTCAGCGTATTATTCTTGGAAAAGATTTTAAACGAAAAAAGCTGAAGTCACGGCGATTTTATGTATCGTAGCCTGTGAGAGTAGGACAAAAAATCCAGTGAACGGACATTCTCCTATAATGGGTTTGGAGCATGTCTCCTCTTCTCAGGGTTGGTTGGGCCCCTCAATATGACGCCGTAACAGGTCCGAACAGAAAATCGACACGTAAAAGAACCATCGTAACATGATAAACTTGAAACTCATATTTGAAGACCCAAAGAAAGTGAGCTGAAAAGCGTGACTGACCTGTGGGAGCTTTATGTTCCGTCCACCCAGGTGGAAGAGGAGACTGGCCTTGAGCCGTCGGCGTGTGCGTTGATTTTAGCATTGTATATTTTGACTGCCGTTACCTGCAGCAGCTTATTAATTAGACAATCATTAAAAAGAGTTCTGGGAGGAATTAATATGGTCCAGTACGTCTGTCATGCTTTATTGGTCTGGCCAAAAGATATGATGTGAGGCGCCAAGGCACGAATAATTTAGCGCTAAACACGCGTGGACCTGCTTGCCTGAAGCTCCCCCAAGCTTGGGTCAGACGTCCTTACAACCAACACATCAACTCTCCACGTCCCTCTCCACCAAACCTCTTGAACTTTCACTTCTCCGGCCCTGATACCCTTCTTCAAATCCAGTGAACTTTCGAATAATTGCCAAACATGTCGAGAAGATACGATTCCCGAGTAAGCATGCGTCAAGGTAGCCGTGTTTGGAAGGCTGAATCTAATGTGATGTAGACGACGATCTTCTCGCCTGAAGGGCGTCTGTACCAAGTCGAATATGCGCTCGAGGCTATTTCACACGCGGGAACGGCGATTGGAATATTAGCTACCGATGGAATCGTTTTGGCGGCCGAGAGGAAGGTTACCAGCAAGCTCCTGGAGCAAGATACCTCAGCTGAGAAGCTCTACATCTTGAACGAGTACGTGGCCAGATACTCTGTTCAGCAGGATGAATTCTAAACTCTCTATAGCAACATGATCTGCGCAGTAGCAGGCATGGTCTCCGACGCAAACATCCTCATCAACTACGCCCGTCAAGCCGCCCAGCGCTACCTCCTTACCTACAACGAAGATATCCCATGCGAACAGCTTGTGAGGAGGTTATGCGATCTCAAGCAAGGCTACACGCAGCACGGTGGTCTGCGCCCATTCGGTGTTTCGTTCATTTACGCAGGTTACGACCCCCAAAGGCAGTTCCAGCTGTACCAGAGCAACCCCAGTGGCAACTACGGCGGGTGGAAGGCAACAAGCGTGGGAGCAAATAACGCAAGCGCCCAAAGCTTGCTGAAGCAGGATTACAAGGAGGATTGCAACCTCAAGGAGGCGTGCGTGATGGCCGTGAAGGTGCTGAGCAAGACGATGGATGCGACAAAGCTTAGCAGCGAGAAGAGTAAGTCTCCTGTGTGCGCTTTGATTTCTAATCAAGGAAACTAACATATTTTACAGTCGAGTTTGCAACTGTTGGCAAGACGAAGGAGGGCAAGATATACCATCACTTATGGAGCGCGGAGGAGATCGAAACGCTACTGAAGGAGAACGACTTAGCGAAGGAAGATACCAGCGACGGCGATAGAGTTGTCACCTAGAATATCACGAAAGTTGGCTGAGTAACCATTGTACTTTTATGCTAGAGCGAGAGAAATGACAAGAACTTTGAACAATTCAATGCTTCCTTCGTATCGTCATTTGTGCTCATGCTATGTCCATTTATAAACATCCAGTGTAGCTCATAATCCGTAGATATATACACCCATCTTCATAAGAGCCCTAAAGCTCCCCGCAAAATATTCATACATGATTCACTCCTTTCGCTCAGGTGCTAAATCAAAAGTGCTCAATCACCCCGAAAACCCATGAAGAATTGGCCTTTCAGTCTGAGTCTCCGCTATCAATCTCACCGAGATTGAACGCACTCGGCCCAGTCCCTTCATGCATAACTGCCGCCTCCTCATCGGTTCCGACCTTCGCAAATCCACCTCCAGATGCAGCTGACGTCCGCGATGCATACGGAGCATCGCAATTCACATTCCTCAGACGCGGATAAAATCGTCGGTAGCTCCAATGAGCAACAATCATCCCCAAAGCACTGCCAATAGTAACATCATACACATCGTGGCGGTAGTCCTCGCATCGCGAAATTGCAACCCAGCCTGCAAGCACCAGCGGTGCCAAGGCTAATAGGCCCCTTGCCAAGTCACCCTCGCGACGGAAAACGTGCATCTGACCGGAGAGGAACAACGCCAGGAAGCCCAAGCCAGAGAATGAGAAGCTGGAGTGCCCGCTAGGGAAAGAGCGCCATCCATCATGGAGACGGTGGTGGTCAGTCTCTGTGCAAACTTCCCATGAGACGAGTGTATGAAGAGGTGTGCCCGCCTTCGCTTTGCAGCGGGAAATGAGGTCAGGCCGTGGCCGGCCGACGGCATTTTTGATAAGGTCGGTAATGACAGCCGTTAACAGCATGCCAATGAAGAATGAGAGTATGGTAACGTGGGACTTGTGGAACCCGGCGCGGGAGATGGCGAGCCAGAGAGCCATTACGATGAGGGGGACGCCGCCACCGTAGAGGAACATCATTGCTAACTATAGTTAGCCAGTGCTCTGAAAGGCGCCTGTGTGGCTCGGAAGTATTCATAGGGGCTGTGCTGAAGTAGCCGCTGAAAGTTCTAGATTCTCCGTATGAATGGATAACTGGTGACATCTTGCTCGTTGCTTCGCACACGCCTTACGAACACCCTGGGGCCGTACGAGTATAGAGGTGGAGTAATCTAAAGACTGAGACTCACAGACTGGAACCCTTTCATGTTCCGCATGAGGGTAGGCAAGGTCGATGTTGCCCAGTTCGAATAATCTATGGAATGGTGTGGTGTTGAACTCGAGCTTCATCCACACGCAACATGTCAGCCAAAGTCATTTAGAAGTCATGACGAGGTTCATACCACAATATAAGCAGCTATAAGGACTGCTAGGCCAACATAATCCGGGGCATATGTCTTCTGCCAAAATCTGGCAACCGCCCCGATTACGCCTGGTTTGCTTGTAAGACCGTTGGTAGCCCGACCCTTCCCCTTCGATTGCGCCATTGTCGCTTTTGGAACCCAGATAGTTGGTACAGTTTGTAGGCACCGATGAGATGTTATTATGCTCTTACACCATGATGCGGTGGCCTTTATCGACTGAGATTTGGCGTTCAACTCTCTGCTGACGGACGTTGTCGTGTGTCGTATCTGGCGGTGGTACCCCACAGGGTCGAACTGCGATCCCTGCCACCAAAGCCGCGTTGCTCCACCCCAAGCTTTAAATTGACCTTCCCTGCCGATCCCGCGTATGCGCCCCTCCTCACTCCTCAACTACCGCGTCGCAACGTTTTAACCGCAGGACCTATCGCAAAAAGCTCCAACGATAGACCACGACGCGATGAAATAAATACTGGATATCTCGATTAACAACCTTGCCTGGTTCTGAGCGGCTGTGCCGCGTGTGCTGTCTCAATGGCAGACCAACAACAAGGGAATGTTCAGGCATCGGCCTTTCCAAGCCCACCTCCGTTTTACCAGCACTTCACCGAAGAAAACCTCGCCCGTGTAGCCATATTACGCGCTGGGAGGGAGTCCGACTCAAGCCAAAAAGATGATTCACCCAAAGAACCTGAGTTGCGAGGCGATCTCCAATACCTTCAACCGCCAGAGCCTCCTGCCGAAGGAACGTACAGGAGCTTTGGCGACCTTTACAATGTATGTGGTTTCCTATGCCTAGCTGCTGTTTGGTGATATGGAGAATGTTAAACTAATATTCTACCAGTTGAACGACATCCTACCGTCCCTTACCGAGCAAGGAATAGAACAACTCTACTCCCCTCCTGCCACCCCATCAGGCTCTGGCGCAGGATCAGACCCACAATCACATTCAGATCGCACGTTGATCTTAAAACGAATTGCGAAGTCTTTACTATTGAACTTTCTTGAACTCATGGGCATCATGAGCGTCAACCCTGAACAATATGCAGAGAAGATTCAAGATTTACGGACACTATTCATAAACTTCCACCACTTATTGAACGAATATAGGCCTCATCAGGCGAGAGAGAGTCTGATATTAATGATGGAGGCTCAATTAGCAAGGTCAAAGGCAGAAACGAACGGCATTGAAAATATGAAAACAAAGGTGGAAGGGATCCTGGCGGGCTTGGGTCAAGTGAACATTGCCCCAGAAGAAGCTGAGGAGTATAAAGACATCAAGAAGGATCTTGAAGAGTATGATGGTGCGAAGGATGTATGGGATGAGCTACACCGCGAGTATGGCTTAGTTGAGCCTGGAAAATCCTAATAATCCTGCCCTTAACGACCCCAGAGTGGTCTTTGACACTCTCACATGAATAAGATAATAACAATTCTCTATAGTTTTGCCTGTCTATTCCTGAATTTTTTTGTCTTCGTCTACTTGGAAGGACTCCTTTCGTTTTGGAATCAATTTTGTAGGTGACTGTTGTAACGGAATTATACCGAAGAAGATTTGTGTTTATTGTGCTTTTACCCCCCCCCCCCAACGCGGTGTTGTCAACACTCAAATTCACTTGGAACAGACATAGACTTACAACCACTCCTTGTCGCCGTCCCTTTTAATCCACGTTTATCTTACATCACCTCCAATGTTTGCCAGATAATCACCTTTCGCTTTATGCTGATAAAAAGCAAATTCGGATAGTTGCACACCATTTCTAGATCTTTTCTATAGTTTTCTTGGCCCGCAGCTACCTTTGTTAGAGCTTCACTTTTTCAGATAACTTCACCCTACCCCCTTTCCATAGCGGAATTTCGACTTTCGGATTTTGGATTTCGCACTTTGGATCCGAGCACACACGGTCTCTACAACGAACAATCCAACTTTATGTTGATAAGAGTCCACTAGGCCTAGCGACGAACCCGACAGAGTGACGGAGGCTCCCTCATAAAACTGGGATGGAACCTGCCACGGAAGAAGATGCAGAGTCTATGGGTGGCTTTGAAGAGGCTCTCCTTGACGAGAGAGAATATATCGTAATATCCAAGGGATATATCACCTGTGATGATGACATGGAGATTGTGGACGCCGATGGCATGGAAGCTGTCTCTGATGAGGGCATGGGAGATGCCACTGATGATTATATGGAAACTGTTGCCGATGATGGGATGGAAGATGTTGCCGATGATGGAATGGAGACAGTCACCGACGACGGCATTCGAGAGCGTTTTCAGCTGTTTTTCAGCATTCATCCAGACTTGAAACCAGGTATGTGAGCACCCACAAAGTCTATTATATAATTGACTGATCAATTCAGATGAGTTGGTCAACATCCTCAAAGGTTCTGGCTGGAATGAGAGGGTTACGCTTCGAAAAGTATACGAACTCAGAAATGGATATGACCCATGCCCTTCGAAAAACCGTTTGCCCACAAGAACACTCGATTCCGACCCCGGTTTAGCTCCAAGTGCAAGTAGTGCAACCATTGGACATAATGGAAGTACGGAGAATCTGAATGGAGAACCCCCAGGTGTTCGAAGCCCGATAGTCATCGACGATGACAGCTCAGATGGCGAACACTACCGAGGTGAGGGAAAGTCTAATATACTTGGTTACGAAAATTCCTCGGAGAACAGTTCTTTAGAGGATGACGATGAGCCATTCGTTCGTGTCCGAACGCCGAGAGTATCAAGGGTTCGTGCACCCCACCAGCGCCCTTCAGGAGATGACAAAGCCACCGAACATACAACCGTGACCAGATGGATCGGAAGATTGGTTGGCGGATTATATGTGAAGACGCTACTGGTTTGCAATGGAGATGATGCTCTGAATCAGAAAGGAGGTCTCATGGAATCATACGTTCAGAAAGGCAAGTTGGGTGGTCTTATTGATATGACCGTCAATAGAGACAAGCTACGGGAACAAGGCTGGACGGGGAGGGATTATACTGACAAAGTCGAGCTGATACCCCCAGTTAAGTGGGTTGACAAGAAACTATCGAAGTTTTATGGAGCTGCTTTCATTGACAAAGATCGGTTTCTCCCCGGGGATTGTATTACGGTGCGGTAAGATATACTTCCTCTCGGCAGGTCAATATGGTTGTTAAGTCTCAAACAGTGCAGGGATTGATGATCGAGATCACCTCACTGCCAACGGCAAACTGAAACAGAATATTAAGGAGACAGCTGCGAGGGTCTGGTTTGCACGAATTGTCAACATATTCGCCAATAAGAGTGGGGACCCCATGGCTCATGTCCGATGGTTTTCTCATGGAGGTGACACATTTCTTGATGAAACTGCCGGCCCAAAAGAGCTATTCCTACTCGACCGCTGCGATGATATTGATATGGTGAGTTTTTCAGAGGGCACGTGTATATTCGTGGACCCCACTGATAACCTTACAGAGCACAATTGCTGGCAAAGTAAATGTGGAGAGATGCACTCAAATTGGTCCTTCAGAAGAAAGCGACCATTTTAAGAAGCCAAACTGCTATTTCTATCGATTCTTCTATGATGATGACGAAACCACGCCCGTAAGATTTGAAGATGCTAGTTTCCACGAAGAAAATATCAAGCTTGCAGGCACAGAGCACTCTCAACTTTGCTTCTGCTGCGCCAGACGCGAAGAGATACAACATGAGCTCTCTACGAGGGTAACAGGCACAATCGACGAAGACCGCTCAGCAACCAGCTTCTCACACGACGGTATTGAATACAAGCTCAATGATTGTGTCTATATGCTCCCAAGGGCGTCCGACGAGCCTCATACGATCGGTCAAATCATTCACATCAAATGCACAGGGGGATTTAATTGGGCTGTGAAAGATCCTTCTAAACTTCGAGACTCAGTGCAAGGTATCCATATCACCATACAGATACTCAGAAGGTATGATGACTTCAACAGCGATTATCGGACTGAATTCAAGAGTGGCGAAAAACACGCCATTCGGGACAGTCGCAGACTGTATCTCACTAATAGGAGGAAAACGATCGACGTCGACGATAAGCTGCTTGGAAAGTGCCAAGTTGTGCATCCAAGCAGAGTTAATAATCTCGCGAAATATAAGGACCTGGAAGATACATTCTATGTGACCGACAGAGAGCCTGATTGTTTCGATGGAACAACGACGAGAAGAGCATTTGATATCGAAGACCTTCAGCCGCTTAATGCTGAGGATTTTCATGATTCCGTCGACGGAAACGTAATGGTTGGAACGGAGGAGAAGCGACAGGAGGCATTCTCAAAAGCTGGCCTCAAGCTCCGAGCGATGGATGTGTTTGCCGGTTGTGGCGGCCTCTCTTCTGGGCTGCATGAAGGTGGCGCTGTGGAGACACTTTACGGCATTGAATGGGATATCGATGCCAGTCGAACTCTCAAGAGAAACTTTCCACGTATGAAAGTATACAATGAGAATGCGAACACGTTGCTACAGAGAGCTATCCAGGAAGAACGAGGAACAGCAACTGGCGTCATGAAAGACCTCCAGGGAAAGCCGATGCCCCCTATGCCCAAACGTGGCGATATGTGAGTTACCAGTAACCTAGAGGGGGTCGATATGTATTATTGCCAGAGGAGATGTTTCTAACATTTCCCAGTGACTTCTTGTACGGTGGTCCACCTTGCCAGGATTTCTCAGGGTGCAATCGATGTCCCAAGGCAAATTCGATCAAGAATTCATTACTGACGACATTCTTATCCTATGTGGACCACTATGGACCGAAATACTTCCTGCTGGAGAATGTCCGTGGGCTACTACAACATCGACTGGGTAGTACCCAGAAAAAGTCCGGCCCCGGTGTCCAGGGGGGCATCCAACAAGGTAGCGTGAAGTTCATTCTCCGAGCACTTACATCTCTGGGTTACTCAGCTCAGTTTCATATGCTGCAAGCCGCAGAACATGGCGCGCCCCAATCCCGGCGACGAGTATTTTTCTGGGGTGCCTTGTTGGGCCGTAAATTGCCTTTATATCCGCAGCCAACCCATGTTTGCAAAGGTCTTTCAGCTCCAACCAATACGTTCACCATGGGAAGAACTGCGCCTCATAATCCAGTCACAGTTGGAGATGCAATTTTCGACTTGCCAGCTTTTGATTGGAGAATTAAAGTGCCTGGCGAAGACCGTCAAGCTCGACGCCAACGGGAATTGGGGATACCAACAATTGAGGTGCCTTCAGATGGAAAGGCGCCAATTGGGGATAACAGAGCTGTGTACGCCTATGGACCGATTGCAGAATTTCAACGAGAAGTACGCCGTTATGTCAAGGGGGATATTGTCAAGAACCACGTTACTCGCCAATGGGGCTCTCAGACAATGTTGCGGCTCGCCCGTATTCCAATGAGACCGCAAGCAAACCATAACGATTTGCCCCTTGAGCACGATATGGCATGCTTGCGTAATAAAAGAGCTTCAAAGAGTAACTTCTACCCGAATCGCTATTATCGGTTGGACTTTAAAGAGCAATTTCAGACTTGCCTGACAAACGTTGACCCAGGCGGCGAGAATGGCAAGGTAAATACAATCCTTAACTGGTTGATCCCGTACTTTCAGCGGACTAATATAATTATTGCAGATCTTACATCCAACCCAACGCCGAATTCTTACGGTCAGAGAGTTTGCCAGGGCCCAAGGGTTTCTGGACACGTTTACATGGGATCCCAACACCCAGCCTCCAAGTGCCATGTACAAGCAGATTGGCAATGCTGTCTCTCTGCAACACGGAAGGGCTCTTGGAAAGGAGCTTTTCAATGCTCTCTACGCCCAATGGGAATCTGAAAAAGCAGCAAATGGCGAAGAAACGTTTCCAGCAGTAGATCCTGGCGATAGTGATGAGTTTGAGGGGTTCGATGATGATGTTGAAATGAAAGATACCAAACCGGATGACGGCTGGGCAAGCAAAGAGCCGATTGTTATTTCAGACAGCGAATAGGAGGGAGAGATGAATGAACATGAATATGGGAACCGTTCGCGGTGACCCAAGCTAGATGACTATCGCGTATATCCTCTTCATAGACAGACTTGATAAGAAATGATGAATTAAATAAATGTAGCCGGATCACTCTTTTAAAAGAGAGTCACTTGATTCTGGCTTGCTCAATTTAAATCTGAGTTCTCGATAATGGATAGCACCTCTCATAATATTGTATAGTTTTGTTAGGTTCGTTGCGCTGTTTAACATCCGCTAAAAATAATACTGGGGGCGGGCCGAGCGAGGCGAGGCTACCTTGTCTACAAAGTGGAGTGCCACCAGACACCACATTTCATCATCAACATCTCTCAGCCTCGTCCACGACCTACGTTTCAACGGAGCACGCCTGTATACTTATATCCCTTGCTTAAAGGCCATAGATGTGGCCACCTATTGTGTACCGCTCATAGAGCGCCATGCCTGTTAATATCCCAGCCACAGACTGCGGGGAGGAATTAAGCCGACTGATGGAATCGATGAATCATGCCGAAACCACCGCTCGAAATAACGACTTGAGAGGGGAATACCTCACATCGAATCCCCAGCAGCGCGACCAAGCTCTAGAAGGTCACCAGCTTCCTTCGCCGTCACCTTCTCCGTCACCAAGAAGCACGTCGCCGTCCCTCATTTCGCCAGCGACGCCAGAGACCGAATTCGATGGAGGTTTCGGCAAAGAGCGAAGCAACAATATTGTCAGCCGGTTACCGACGCCCGCTCTACATAATGTATGGAAGGATGATTCTTATTTAGAAGCTCCCATCCCACCAGTCAATGACGCTGCGGCATTGCGGAGTCCAAAACTGCCCAAAGCCCAGGGCGAAACGGTCAAGAAACAAAGAGATGCCTCCACGGCCAACGATACGGCCAATGAAGGAGTCCGGAAACTGTCATCCTCTGAAATTGAGAACTTGATATCTCAGCCTGAATCGCTTCCTTTACCAGCTTCTATGCAACCGGATTCCAGAAAAAGAGGGACAACCCTTCAAAATCCATTGACATTCGAAGATTTCGAATCTAAGCAAATCCGATCACCATCTGCTCGCACATCGGGATTCTCGTCTGGAAGCCAACGCCCCGGCACAAGTTCCCGTGTGATTTCTAGCCCACAAGTTGGCCGCCGTGAAAACTGGCAAGAAAGAAGCTCGAGGAATATGTCACCGGTGCGAAGACAAACCCCTTCGATGCGGGGATCCGATGGGTTTGATCCAAATACCTCCGTCAAGTTATCGGCTAGCAATGGACGCCCACGAGTAACACCGTTACCCTCTGAGTCCGCGCTACCGCAGACCAGCGAAGAGATCCCTCTCCCTCCGCTGTTGAGCACATACCTCGAATTAGAACTAGCGTCATCCCGGCCATCGCCGTTATATATACATCGGTCTCGTGGCCAGGAATACCCCTACGAGTCAGCAAAGGTTAAGTTTGAACGGCTTTTGAACTTTCTACTTGTACCTTTGTGTTTAGAACCTGCTCTTCTGTTTGGAACGTTGGCATGCCTTGATGCCTGGCTTTATACATTCACAATTCTTCCTCTGCGTTTCATAAAAGCCATTGGTATTTTGGTATCTTGGTGGGCCAAGTCGCTGGCGGCAGAGGCGCGCTTCGTGGCATTGTTTATTTATCATGGATCACCGCGGCTGTGGCATCGCCGCAGAGGCTATAGCTCCAGCGCTGATATCCCTCATGCGCCCCCGATTCAAGGCGGTCAGGACGGCGTTCAGTCGCAGATATTGTCGCCAAGACCTCGTGAAAATGGGAGGTTTTCCGATACTAGCGGCGCCAGTGGCCTGGAGACGGAAGGCCGTCGCTCTGGAGAGAAAAGGACGAAGCTTGAATGGGGCAGAAGGCACAGAAGAACCAGATCTGTTCCGTCGACATTATCACCGTATCATAAGGCCGATATTCTTCAGGGGCTAGTTATTATCTTTAGCTGTATCATTTTGATGCAACTAGATGCTAGCCGCATGTATCATAGCATCAGAGGGCAGGCAGCTATGAAATTGTATGTTATATACAACGTTTTGGAGGTAAGCTATTCGAATCATATGGTTGCGGATTGAACTAAATATCTTTAGGTTGGCGACCGGTTGCTCGCTGCTGTTGGACAAGATATTCTTGAATGCCTGGTGTGTGATGAGACATTGGAGCGAGGATTGGATGGTCGATCCAAGCTTCTTCAACCGCTAGGGATGTTCGTTTTGACGTTGGTGTACAATGTCATACATGCCACCGCACTGTTCTACCAAGTCATCACCCTAAATGTGGCCGTGAATTCCTACTCTAACTCTTTATTCACACTGCTTCTCAGCAACCAGTTTGTGGAAATCAAAGGGACGGTCTTCAAGCGAGTTGAGAAGCAAAATCTCTTTCAGCTTTTTTGTGCCGACGTTGTGGAGCGCTTTCAGCTATGGCTGATGCTTATCATTATCGGACTTCGAAACATTGTCGAAGTTGGCGGGCTCAGTATCCTCAGCAATCCACAGTCCGCCAATGGGGCTGCAGATACGTTGCGAAATGCCACGATTCCACTCCGCAGTTCCATTATCCCAAACAGCTTCAAGATCATCCCAAGTTGGTCTGGAGAGGTTCTCTCACCATTCCTTCTCGTTCTCGGCAGCGAAGTTCTCGTCGACTGGATCAAACACTGCTATGTCGGAAAATTCAACAATGTCAAGCCTGTTATCTACAAGAAGTTTCTTGATATCCTCTCAAAGGACTACTATACCAACGCATTTGTTAACCAAAATCTCACGAAACGGCTCGGCCTCCCAGTTATCCCACTGTCTTGCCTCTTTATCCGCGCGTCTGTCCAGACTTACCACATGTTCGTCGCCACTCATTTCCCACCACCACTGGCATCTACCGCGACGTCAATATCCCTTGAATCTGAGGCTACTGCTTCACCCGCAACAACGGCTGCAATGGAGCACCTCGATATACTTATTCGCAAAGCTCTAGGCCGGTCGACATATGTCACCGGCGCATCAGTGGAACGGACGTGGCAGTTCTTTGACTCTGACGATATTATTTCATTCATTGCCATGGCAGCTTTCTTCCTCGGAGCCTTCCTCGCGCTTCTAAGTTGCAAACTTGTTCTCGGGATGCTCTTACTTCGATATTCTCGCCGCCGCTACGAGACCATGAATATACGCGAGAATATGGGCCTGGACACGAAAGGCAAGCGGTTGGGCGGGCTCGGCATGGTGGAGCTGGGGGAAGAGAAGAGGAATATCATATATGAAGATGACCCGGAGGGCGCTAAACAGCTGAAAGATAGGGAAAAGAAATGGGCTGAACAGGCGAAGCAACAGACGGATTTTGACAAGGTTACGAGATACGAAATGGTTGCTAAGCGCATTTGGTGATTTAGTTTGGCGGCATTGGAACGGCGTTTTATATATCATCATTATGCATATTGAATGGCGCGTGGGGGGTAGCAAACAGATATACATCATTTCTTCTGGGCTTGAACAGTTGATTTTTCAGACAATATCATACCAAATACAAAGCTGCGATTATTATTCACCATCATTAAAACCTACGAACTAAACATTTACTACTACTATAAAATACATGTTGGCGATTTACCCTACTGCTTGTGGCTGCATATGCATACTGTTGTACGTAAGGACTAATTAATCAATGCATAGTACAGTTGTGCTCAGCCTCATCAAGGTGCAGATCCGCCCCCAAATCTTTTCGACAACGACATCATACTGACAAACTCGATGAATCTAGTACGATACCCCCTGAGATAACTATGAGTTTCGGGTTCTCAGTTGGTGATTTCATCACAGCTCTTGAGCTTGTCGCTACAGTCATCGACGCCCTGCGCGAGAGCGGAGGTGCCAGCTCGGAGTATCGAGAAATTATACGACAACTATACTCACTTGAAACGGCTCTCATTAGCGTAAAAAGACTTGAAGTCGATCCAGCACAGAATGCTGAGCTTGTTTCGCTTCAGCAAGCAGCGGCGCAGTGTCAGCTGACGATCGACAGCTTCTGGAAGAAAGTACAGAAGTACCAGCCTCATCTGAGAGCTGGAGGTTCTAGTTCAAGGCTGAAGGATGGCTGGATGAAAATCCAATGGGCGATGTGTAAGAAAGAGGATGTGGCGAGATTTAAGGCCGATTTAGTTGGACACACGGAGTCTATCCAATTGCTGCTTATGGCGATGCAAATGTACGAACGAGTTTCCAGGTTGACAAATAGATCCATGGCTAATTTCCTCAAAACAGGGCTTCGGCAACCCTACATGAGAAACGCCACGAACAACAAGCCCAGAGCATCGTTGGAAGGGTTCAGGATTCGTATTTTGGGTGTATGCAGCGTCTATCAAGCATAGCCGAAAGCATCCAGAAGTATAATCCCTCCTGGCTTTATATTGCAGAAAATGTACGCTAACTATTGAAAAGTGCACTTGAGGAGGGGAAGAAGTTGTTGGTAATGACGACCAAGGTGATGTCAGTTCCCTCAGTTAGCTAAAGCCCATAGCCATCGATTGACTTGTCACAGGCAGACAAATATCAAAGTGTTTCAAGTCGTCCTAGACATCCAAAGGATTATCACGACAATACCAGGCCAAATAGACCGGCAGCAGCCAATCTATTTTATTGACGCTCTTGGGAGGAGTTCTCCTTTTCATTTAGAGTTTGTGCGCTCTCCTGAGGCAAGTCATCGTGCTTAAATATGGCTTCGTGCTGCGTTGCTAAGGACACAGGTAGGCTCTGGTTTCGATTCTCAAGATCAACTTCAAAAAGGTAGGCCATGCATCAGATATGATTGAAAGGGGAGAGTTTGTCATACAAGATTCTGCTACGAAGAAGGATGTCAATCTCGGAATGGAGTGGGACCTCTGTTTTTCTCCGGGCCAGCGAGTGGAAATGAGCATGGTATTCAAGCGGCGAATTAGACCAACAAATAACTGTCCAACTTGCAAAACGGATTGTGGTAAATCTACTGAAGAAGATACCGTGTGGTAGGTACTATTCATTGCAAGGTGCTTCTAAAGAGGAAAGCTAATAAAATTGCTAAAGTCCAAATTGTGGATTGAATTTTCGCCGAGTACTGGATTTAAAGGATGTTTCAGATAATATCAGCGACATTAATCTTACAAATAACGAACCTGGTTTGGTAAAGTCCCCTCATATGCTCGGTCCTTCTCTGCCTATGGACTCTCTCAAACGCAAACGCGGCGGAAATCAAGAGGAAATAGACCAGGTTTCACTCTTCCGACGTGTACGCATCTACAATAATATCCATCGTTCGACCCCACCAAATATACTGCGTTCGGACTTGGATTATCGAACAAAAGTATACGAATTTAGGAATAATGATTGGTCTGATCAAGGGACGGGACATGTCAATATTAGGCTAGAACCCAAGGTATATCAGATCAGCTTATCTTCCTTGCTTGCAAATACTTTTAAGAACGAACTCCAAAGGAATTACTAATACAAATAAAACAGGATGGACAATGGATACCAACCCTACATGTTGAATGTGAAATAAACCCTGGTCGACAATTGCTGCAATTGCAGATTGGACGGAGTCAAAGTATAGCGAAACAGGGAGGTAAAGAAAACATCGTACGTTTACTATTAGAGACAATCTTACAACCCTTTCTAGAAACCCTTCTTATATGGACAGATGATAGGGGTATAGAGGTGTCGCTTAGCTTTCAAGATGGTAGTGGATGTATGGAAATATGGTAAGTTACATTATTATGCTATGTTATAACTATTCGGTTCACTAACAATTGAAGGAAATATATCAACAATTATATACAACGTATGTTTCGAGGATGGTGAGATATGTTACCATTGTTTTTATCTATTGTCGTGCGCTAGACGACGCATTTAGAAACACTAAGCCTACTTCTTGCCTAGAGTCTTAGTCGCTATATTTGCCGTCGAACGCTGGCGAGCGATATTAACGGCAGGGAAATTGGACACTGGACTTGCATGATTCCCGAGACTGGCATTAGTTTTAAATACCTTTCAAGGGCTTCCTACTATTAACGGAGTGAGATATTGTTGGCCTTGTGCATTTTCATCTTTCGAGACCAGTCGAAGATTACGATAATAAAGGGCAGTCAGATTCACTCGAGGTTCTCCCAGCAAGGAGGCCTCTGGAAGGGCTTTACGGACTTTGATTCTATGATATGTGTAGTTAAGGACCTTGAGGAATGATCACAACATATGAATAGGAAGCATAATGTGCAAGGAATGAGCGTGAGAATAGGATCTATAGGAAGAATCGTGACGGTGAGATATCCAGGGGATCATGCCAGTGTTAGCAAAGGAAATTGATGTAGGAATTGACATGTATGAAAATCGCGTCTGGAATCACGGCAACAATGGGAACCCAAACATCTAGCAAATATTGTAACGGCTAGACGAGCGTTCTGTCCTACTATCCTTCCCCCAATGCCACATCTGTATCCGAGAGTCCCAGTTACCCTAGCATCTAGCAATGATCGTAACAGCTAGACGAGGATTCAGCACTACTCTCCTTCCCCCCATGCTGCATCTGCCTCCAAGCCTCCCAACTACCAGAAACCCCTCCTTAAGCAACCGTTGTGTTTCTTTACCAAGTCTTGAAGGCATCGATATCAAAGCCCGGCCACAACAGCTTTCCGTACTCGAGTTCGCGCTTGACCTTTCCTTCCTCATTCCACCAAATCGTAGACAGCATGATCATACCCGCCGTATCACCCTTCTTGATTCCCGGGGGAAGTCCCGGCTTAGCCTCCTCCGGGGGGTCAACCGCAAGCGTAAACCACACCACATTCTCCATAATGCCGAATTCGCAGGGTCCGGAGCCGCCATCGATGGAAATGGCTTGGACTTTGACATCTGTCATGAGAGAACTAAACCCACTGTTCGCTCCGAGCCATTGATTTCTATCTGCCCTGACGATCGCAAGAGCTGTAGTGGAATAATTTGTTAGAAGGGTGTTCATAAAGAATGGAGGAGAGATCTTACGGATATCAGTGATGTGAAAGTCGTCAGCCTGCAAATCGTACATTCCAGTGAAGTTGCCAGCCACGAAAGAGATAAAGTATTCCTTCATGCGCGCCAACAGTACCTTGTCGTGAAAGTGTTGGATGCGGCTATCGTCGTATGCGGGATAGTCAGTGGCAGGCTGGAAATCAGTCAGTAAGATGCTGCTCCTGTCAAGTAATAATGCTCCCCTACCGAGTTTATGCGCAACTGGAGAGAAACGTCAGGGCCCCGACTAATGCGGCGAGATGCAAGGACGGTTGGGGCAATCGCCACAAGAGGAATGAGGAAGTTGGATAACTTCATTTTGATATAAAATGGAGTTCTTTAAGGTGTTGGTAAAGCTTTGCCGTTTAGGACTGTCTGCTTGTTGTAGAGAATTTAAATAGCTGATTTCAGCTCTCTATATATATTGTTTGCATATTGCAACGGTGACGGCTTACAGTTGCTGCTAAGACACTACGACTGAGTTGAAGATCGAGATCAGCATTTTGTGGCTAGCTGAAAATGCAGCAGCATAGCCAAAGCAGTTATCGTGCATGCGTAAATAACTGGAGAGCGCCGGAGTTGGGTAAGACACAGCTAGGCAATCCTACACGATTCAACGATCCTATGGAGGCTCGTAAACTCAAACATATTTTTTGTGAAACCTTCAGATGGATTATCGTCTTGTGACGGGATAATCTACATCATAAACCATTGAGACCCCCATCCCCGATGTCTTTCCTATGCATGCTACAATCGGGAGATGCTCCAGATATAAGCCCTTATGTAGGGGACATGACTAACTCGAACCCTCTTAAAATGGTTAACTGTATACGGGTCTACCTAAATAAGCTATTTGTTTAGCAAAACTTGAGCTGAAAGTGGAACTACAGCCCCGCTTCTCACTCCTGCTACATATGATGTGCTTGTTTGCTTGAGAAAAATACGCAGAAATGTCTCTCTAAAGACCGAAAGGAGATGCTCAGCCCGTCATTGCATTTTTTCTCTAGCAAGTAGGAGATGTCAGGAAAAAGTTAGACTCCGCGGCTCTTTCGAACCCCCCCTAATAGATCGTGTCCGAAGAGTAATGCTTAGGACAGAGCTTCTAAAGGAGCGAGCTTCTCAAGAACCCTATTCTAGCTCGGGATCTGATGCTTTCTCGCTATACACGGGTCTGCAGCTGATTAGAGTTGGCTTTCATTACTGAATCACGAAAAATATTTCCAAATGCGTCCAGGCTGCGCCGGGTCGGGCCGGGGGGTGGGGGAACCGGTGGAGGAATTTACAAACCGACCATATGAGGAAATGCACGGGATCCGAGCGTGCTTAGTAACAGCATCTACTGCATTGAGCTGAGCCAAATATGCACCTGATAGACTACAGAAGTTCAGACAAACGAAAACCACTGCCGTATTAGGGGTCGCCGACTGAAACATCAAAGAAAAAAATGCTTGCATGGTGGGACGACATATGGCGGATCAGGAAGTCTCCTAGCTGGTCAGCGAGCTGAATCAAGCTGAGAGCAAAAGCCAAGTCTCGTCCGGGTATCCAGATACAGAACCTGCAAGTCGTGACAATGCATCATGCTTCTCCCTCAAACATATGTTTCCCCCATCATATCTTGATTGGTTTATCTCTCTCCAGCGCTGAGCTGAGGCTGGAGGCTGACTTTATATCCGTAGCGTGCGGGTACGATGCGGTGTGTTCAAGCGGCAGGAACGCTAGAGCTATTAAGGTACTCTTGGCGGGCGCTCTCCCCTATCGGAGACCCCCATACATCCCCGCGTCTCATCCAGAATAGCGCCCATGTCGCACCCACGAATCAAACCCGTGCCTCGCACGCAACGTCATACACGCATAAATCCCCCGATCCCCTCGGTCCCCACTCCAGAAGTATAACCTGCCAACTGCCAACCTTGCCAACCCAACAGCAAGCATACCCAACTTTCTCTTTTGTGTTTTGTGAACCCTCGAAAGACATATTCAGTGCATCTATCTGCAAGTCTTAAATCGCTTTCTCCGAAGTCAGTCACACACGAAGGTAAGCCGACCAACCTCTGGATCCGACTGGCCCTTACAAGGCAATACCGTACCTGTGACCGCCGTTCCTGGACGCAAGCTAACAACCCCCCTAGCATCCAGCATCCAGCATCCAGCATCCAGCATCCAGCATCAACCACAACCACCCAAACCACCGACAAAATGTGCCAATCCTCCGCCCCATCGTTCGTCAACCGCAACGGTCCCGGCTCGGCAGCTGCGAGCACCATCTCGAGCATTGTGAAGCCTGAGGCACCCAAAAAAAGCTGTATTTCTTGCGATGGATATGACTGCTGTTGCATCCCGATACCGTGCTCTGTGATGTAAAGGAGCTGGATTGATGAAGAGGAGGGAAAGGATTCATATCTGAGGCTTTGGGTGTGAGGATTTGAGGATCTGAGGATCTGGGGTTGGTGGGGGTTGGTGGGGGAAATTGATACCCGTGGACTTCGGCTGCGAGAATCGGGGGATCTGGGGATTGGCGGGGGAAGATTGTTACATACAGCTAAGAAAGGCTGGGGAAAGGTTGGGGATTATGGGAGATAACTGATTGTTACGATTTCTATTTGACGAAGTGTTTACGAATGAGCAAATAAAGCTGATTTTAACAATATGTGCCGCTGCAATTTTGTCAGCGTGGCACTCCATTATAATGCCTCTATTGAAAGAGAACCGCGGGCAAGGTTTCATTGTTCCTTTTTCCATTGAGATTGAGCCACCTACAATACCCTGCCAATCTAATATTACATTAACCCGAGAACATACACCCCACCGGCCCTACCCGCTGAAAACAAGTCCGCCAGCCTGAAAACTCCAAACGGCATATCCAGATCCAACCACAAAGCCCTATCTAAAAGCGCCACACCAGACCCGGTGGAACACAAAGACCCCCACCCGCCTTGCACACTAAACAAAGCCCCTAAAGAAATCCAAACAAATGTCCTACCCCTTCCTCCCATCTTTATTTCTTAGGCAGCTCGACAAACACCTTCCTAAAGATCTCCCGACTCTTAAACAGATTCGTCAACCTCAACCGCTCATTATCCAAATGCGCGCTATCACTCGCCTGCCCGCACGGCAGATGCGCCGCGGGTGCTCCGAACTCCTTCTCCAAAAAGCGGATGCTGGGAATACTGCCTCCCTCCCTGATATACAGGGGCTTCCTTCCCTTTGGTGCCTCATCACCATCAACGGGGAGGGCAGGCTCGCGCATGTTAGCGAGAGAGGTGTGATCGCTGCCGTTGGTGAGGAGGTTGGCGGTTGCGGGCGTGGGTTTGAGGCTTGGGCTGGCTGGTAAGGCGTTCTGTGGTTTTGGGGCGTCCTTCCGGGGAGCGAGGCGAGTGGGAGGATCGATGGGACCCCAGACTTCCATGATTGCCTTTTCGAGGGTCTGGAAGATGGCGTTATCGGGGTTACCGAGCCAAGGTTCGGCCTGGTTGTCGATGGTGATCGTGAGGTGGTTGTGGGTGTCTAGCTCTTGGAAGGCGGCGTTGAGGTAAGTCTTGAGTGACTCGATGACATCTTCTACTTCTTGGTTTGGCACCAGGCGCAGGGAGATGGCGGCGCTGGCGTGGCAAGATACGAGGGAACCTTCGGGGCCGGAGACTTTGTAGCGGTGGACTGTTAGGTTGGGCTGGCGCCATCTGGCCATTAGCGATGCCTTGAGCGCCGAGGCTGGTCCTAGCTCGGGGTTGCGGCGGATTAGGGTGTCGGTAATATCGTCGTAGCGGGCTTCTTCGGCTTCCGTCACTGGTAGGATGTTATCGTAGAATCCTGGGATTTTGATGTGGTTATGGCGGCCCTTCAATTCTGAGAGGATCGACGTCAAATCGAAGAGCGGCTCGTCCATCATGAAACTTCCATCAACACCACTGTGGACATCAGGGTGGTTGCTGTCAACGCTGATGGTGGCGTGGAGGACACCTCTGAGACCATATGTCAAGCAGGGAACGTCGTCATCGAGCCAGTAACTGTTCGCAAGCAAGATGTAGTCAATGTCTCCAATGAGCTCCTTGTTGCGCTTGACCGCCTCCATGAACCCTCTTGACCCAGATTCCTCTTCACCTTCGATAAGGAACACAACATCCGAGTCAAGTAACCCTTCGTTTTTGCAGTCGACAACGGCGTATAATGCCGCCATTATAGGGCCCTTGTTATCAGACACCCCTCTACCATACAGGTATCCATTGATACCCTTCATCTGGAAGGGGTCGATAATCCAATTCCCTTTCTTATCATCGGCACCCACAACATCGTAATGCCCATAGAACAGAATCTTCTTGCGCTTGGCGGATGTGGCCTGTTTACCGCTGAATCTTGCAAAAACCACCGGGTTGTGGTGGTTATCAGTGTTCAGCATCTCAGTCTCCGCACCGTACTTCTTGAAAAGCTTTCGTAAGAAAGTGGCACCACGGCGGCAATCCTCAGCGTGATCCGGCCTGGATGAAATGGTCTTGTAAGACACGAATTCCTGCAGTGACTTGATGAGGACGTCTTCTTGGAATTCCCCAACACTGTTGGCCCTGGGGTGGGTTTCGCTGAAGTTCCAAATCGATACTGAGCTATCGCTAGCACCGGTAATGTAGAAGCGCTGGCCGTTGTAGTTAGTTGTCGCGGATGCCATAACCTTGCCTTCATGACTCTTCCAGCGGTTCATGCACTGATACTTCTGGGAGAAGTTTTCAGAGCTCCGATTGTACTGGCCATACTGCACCGTACTGTATTTCTAGAATTTCTGTCAGTATAGTTGCCAATGGACGAGACAAGCCACACTTACCCTGGAAAACCCGGTAGCCCCAGCACTGAATAGGAAACCCCAGCCCATCTGGAGAGCCATCACATCACCATTGTGGGCCTTGATAACACGGAGCTTTTGCTTGGTGTCCAAATCCCACAGCTCAATAACGCCTCGAAGCTTTCCGCTGTACAGGAACGATCCATCCAAGGCGAGGGATAATACAGACTCTGCATCATCTTCACCGAGGCAAGCAATTTCCTCAATCACATCATTTGGATCATCGCTGAGCTTCCAAAGCTTGATCGACCCATCACCCCCACCAGAAATAAGCATGTCCTCATCCGCCTCGATCAGCCTGCTAGCACCACGCACCATGAGCATGCAGTACACATATCCAAAATGTGCGTAGTGCTTCATATGCGCCTGATCAATCTCGAGAATATCGCCTCCAGTTGCCAACTGAGCAGAGCGCCCAGGCGAAGCAGAGCGAGTTGGCGCTTTCGCTCCAGCCTGCTTGGAGTCAAAGAACCTGTGGTTCCGCTTATCTGGGTGTCCCTCTTCATTCGGCGTCTGCCTGGAATCCGAATCTTTCAGGCTGCACCATTGAATGCTTGTGTTCTGTGCTCCGAGATATATGGTTTGGAATTGGGTCGAGTACGCCACACTGAAGATGTCGCCAACATCGTATGTGCTGTAGATGTGGTATTTGCGCTTCAAGCTGTAGGGACACCATGCATTGACAATGGCGTCTCCTGCGCCAGAGAAGAGGAGCTGGCCGTCTTGCGACAGAGTGAGGCAGAGGACAGCTCGTTTGTGTGCTTTTATCCGGGCGACGAGCTCGTAGGAGGCCAGCGACCACGCCAGAATGTCGCCATCTTGTGTTCCGGCGTATATGAATTTGTCGGACACCGTCAATGCGAGGATCGAGCTGTCGTGTTGGACCCGGTGGAAGAGCTCTGGCGATGAGTCGTCTCCGTCTGCGCTCTGGGCTAGAGTCGATCGGTCCGCTGTGATGTGTCGGTCGCCATCTTCGCTGGATGGGGTATTTAGAGCTTCTTCTGCAGCTATGTTAGAAACATTGCGCCCCTGAGAGCGTTCTCCTCTCTTGGAGCTCGCTCCTTGATGTTCCATTTGTGTAGAGTTGAGGTTTCAACCCCACGTCGGTTCTCGGTGATGGTAGTTTGCAAGGTAGCGAGCCTCGATTGGTTTTTGGACTATCTATCCCCACCAACAAACATCAAGCAACGCTCACCGACTCAACACACACGTGCCAACTTGATCACAAATGTGAATGCTTCAATCTTCGGAGATTGACTGGATCATGAAAGAAGCTATATTTTCCCACAAAAGCGGCGAAAGGAAATATATAAGGAGCTTGCTTACCACTGTCTTGATCACTACTACTAGTGTTGGAGCTGCTCCAGTAGCGGCGGAGTGAGTCGAGTGAAGGTCCATGATCCACCAGACCCTCTACACTACGATATTGCAGAGGCATCAGACTAGCGATTACAGAATCTCTGAAGCTGCTAGTTCTTGCGCAGGCGTTCCACCGCTCAAAGCGACGATATTCTTGGGGGGTAGTGGCTTGAGTTGGCATAATTCAGAGCTTTCTCCCATATCTGGCATCACGGACGCTCGACACTGGACCCTTATGGCGCAAGAACCAGGGCCAATGGCGAAATGTCTCAATTTATATACAGAATCTCTTGAGGAAAGAGAGAGTGACAGACTAACTCATGTTCATTTGACAGGAGCGATTCTCCCGTCCGTTTGCTCCATGTTTATTTTGGTTTCACACGGCGCGGCAGAGCCGGTATGACTCTCCCCACGTATACTACCTATCATAACTGGATAAAGGAAGTTGCTACCAAGTAATTGTTTGAGGATCGTCAGGAACATTGCTACATATGTATTGGCTAACTGCAATGGATCGTGGAATGGCCTTGTTTAGTTTGAATAGTATGGGGGATGACACTTCAAGGTCAAGTGCCACGTCGAAAAGACGTGGCCATCGTGGAGAGAAACCGATAATTTTTGTTTTTATCCTGCGCACCTCGCCCTGTCAAACCACACAGGGCGGTTCAAGGCGGTTCCTAATGGTAAGGCGCATATGCAAGGCCTCGAAAGGCACACGATCAGCTGGATAAGTGCCCAATGGAATACCTACTAGCGTTGACAGTTTCTCATTGTTGGTGCTGGGTTTTTCAACTGTTGGGAATGGAGGATGGGTAGGACTGGGGGCGGTGAGTCTGTGATAGATCTTGGAAGTCTCAAATTCGTGATCTCTGGAGAGTATGAGTAACCAGCAATATACGGTATACGGTCTCCGATGTCTCGAACACAACAGGGAAGGCAGTTATCAAATTTGATCGCCCTCCTATCCCTGAGCACGTGACTCATTGGGACTTTGCGCCATAATGGCGCGTCGCTGGCACCATGAATATGGCGCCTATAATTAAGAAATATTTATAACTTCGACTTCTTTCTCTATAAAAGCCTCAGAGGCAGCGATATAATACAATTTGTCTTTTTATAGCCACCATTTTTGCTTATTTCAACCATAGTACACCAAAAAAACGAGTGTTCCTCGCCCCCATGTCCGAAATGTCGGTAGCTTTTTACAGCCGCGGAACCTACCGGCACCCATTCCGACCGCGCTAGTAAATTCTAAGCGCATCATCTTGCCTTCCATCGAGAAAAGGGCCAATCTAACAATTTCCCACGCTCCGCCGAACGACGACAACCCTTGGGCCCCATCTCTCATCACCAGGGCCGCTATACCACGTAATACCCACCACAGCCTCTCCTTCGCGAATCCGAACGGAGCCAACGCCTCAACGACGCCGACCGAACCGGCCAGCCTCGCAACTTTCCGTCCATCAACGGGCCTTGAGGAGTTTGGGGGGATTTGAGAAAGCGGGACATATACAGCCATTATAGAAGATGGATCACACCCGAGACCCATGTCCGTGGGTGGCACTCAATGATTTCGGCGGTGCCTTTTCCATGGGAGTAAGACTCGCCCTGACGCCCCCCGTCCGTCCCCCTTGATAATCGAAATTTTGCTGACTCGCCGACCAGGCCATCGGAGGCGCTGTGTGGCACGGTGTCAAGGGCTTCAGGAACTCGCCGTATGGTGAGCGTAGGATTGGTGCGCTCACGGCTATCAAGGCGCGAGCGCCTGTGCTGGGTGGAAACTTCGGTGTCTGGGGTGGCTTGTTCTCGACTTTCGACTGCGCGGTGAAGGGGATTCGCAAGAAGGAGGATCCGTATAATGCTAGTATGTTCTCGATGCCGATGAGTGCTGTGCTGTGCTTCTGGCACGGTGGAGATTGGGAGGATGAGTTGTGCTAACACGTTCGCAGTTATTGCTGGATTTTTCACGGGTGGAGCGTTGGCTGTCAGAGGCGGCATGAAGGCGGCGAGGAACTCGGCGATAGGATGTGCCTGCCTGCTCGCGGTTATCGAGGGTGTCGGAATCGGATTCCAGAGGATGATGGCGGAGAACACGAGATTAGATGTTCGTATTTGACGATTCCCCTTTCGCCTCGACTTTTGCTAATACTTCTTTTTACAGTTGCCACCACCACCTCCTCCTCCTTCCGACAGCAAGGCTATGCCAGCCCTGGCTTAAGCTTTCTTCCGATACGCTTCGAACGCGTACCGCCTCTCAACTCTTCTATATCCTCGCCAACAGTGGCAAGGATTGTTGCATATCTGCGAGATACTGGACTGGGAACTTTTTTTAAAACGTGTTTGTTTGCATAGGTGGTGGGAACGGTGTATTATATATATGTGTAGAAGGATACTTGTGCTAAAAAGATAATGAAATCAGATTCGAAACTTATATCTATGGCATCTATGTATAGCATAGTTTCAACCGGCGTGACATGCAGTTCTCTTTCAAGCTTTCTCCCCTTTCAAATCCCTTGGGTCATGCTCTTTCCCTTCATTCTCATACCCTTCCAGGCCCCCATACTGGCCTTCATTCCAAACCCTCGCAACAGCCTTCCCGTCCTCATTCACCGTCGCCCTAAACATCCCACCACAATTATACTCCGCCGCCACATACGCCTTCGTCCCCCTAACCTCCCCATCAGGGCCCTTAACAACAGCACACTCAATCCCAATCATACCCCCCTCACCCTCTCCCGTCTTCTTCCACCTCTTCCCAGCACTCTTCTGCAACTCCCCCCCAGGCCCCGTAACCTCCCTCAACGCCTCACCCAACGACGTCGTCGATCCATCCCCCCTATACTTCGCAATAGCAGACACAGTCCTAACAGCATTAACCCTCAAAAACGAATCCCCATTCCCCGTCCCCGACATCCCCATCGCCCTCACCACCGTATCCCCCCTCCTCTCCACCACCCCCTCACTACCCAAAGGCAAATACCCATACCCCCCCCACCCTGGAAAACAATCCGCCAACACCCCCCTCAACGCCCCCTCCAACTCCACCACCGCCCCTCCCCCCCCACCGCCTCTAACAACTCCCTCCCACTCCTCCGCCCAAAACCCCGCCCCCAGCGTCGGCGTATCCCCCACCCTCCCGGCGAGTTTATTCGTCATCCCCCCCGTACTCGTAGCCGCGCAAACCACCCCCTCCGCATCTAGCGCCACTGCCCCACACGTCCCCTGGCTCACAAACGACTCCGCATCCCATGTCGCGCAGCCGCCGCGCTTTTCACGGTCTAGTCCGGCGACGTGTTCATCCCACCGCTTCTGCGTGAAGAAGTACGAAGTCTCGACGAGGTCAACACCCCATTCTTTGGCCAGACGCTCGGCGGCGGGGCCGAAGAGTTGGGAGTGCCCTTGTGCGCCGCTGGCTTTCATCAATACCCCCTCTTCGTCTGCGACCATAGGGCCGCGGTGTTCCCCGTTCCCAGAATCCAAATCCGTCTCCCCTCTCAACAACATCTGTCTTGCAAGCTGCACTGGGTTCCTCACCCTACTCAACCCCATAACCCCCACACCCCTCTTCTTCAGCCCCCTCGACACCATAACCGAAGCCTCGAGCTCATTCGTCCCATCGCGGGTGAATACCGCGCCGTGCCCTGAGTTGAAGAGCGGACAGTTCTCGAGGAGGGTGACGGCGTGGGTTGCGGCGTCGAGGGCGGTGGGGAGCGGGGTGGTGGTTTGGTAGGCGTGCGTGCGGGCTAGGATGTGGAGGAGGGCGGTGGTGAAGGCGTGGTGGTCGGAGGGGGGGAGGTTGGAGGGGAGGATGTTGCCTGCGCCCCCGTGGATGATGAGGCGGGGGCGGATGGGGTGGGGGGAGGAGCTGGGGGAGGTGTAGGTCATTTTGGGCATTGTGGTTGTTGAGAGGTAGGAAGTAGTCTAAAAGAAACGGTGTAAATACTATTCGGTGTCTATGTTATGGAGATGAGGTAGATATATGTCTAAAAGAAAGGCTGTGGGGACTAGGTGGTTACGTTGTGGAAGTGAGATAGATTCAGTCCCAAAGAGGCAGCTCTGTGGTTACGACGGAAGCTAGTGGTGGCGGCAACAACCAGGTACCATATTGTGTCTCTGTTCACGCCAACAAAAGATGAAGTTGAAAAGTATCTAATATCGCTATCAAATATTCTAAATAAACTCTCGCGGTATCCCAAATCTCATCTCTAACCTTCCAAAACATACAACATCCGCTTGTAGATCCATGCTTAATCCGCCAATCACCGCCCACCCCGCAACTTCAACGCAAACTATCGTATAAATGATACTCGTCGAGAGGCATTATGTTGTACAATCCCATCCGCCCATCTTATTATACCAGGCAAAGCCGACATGGCAGTCATATCTTCGGCTTCCCAGTTTCCCTCGCCAGTTCCTGTCTGAGCTTCTCCACCAGCTCGGCCGCTTCCTCCTCATCGAGGTCCGTTCTCTGCCCTCTCCCAAACATAGTAAAGCTCTTATTGCGAAGTTCCGGAGTCAAAGCCGGTCGAGGAATAATATGGAAGTGAACATGCGGCACAACCTGTGCAGCAGCAGCGCCTAAACACACACACATTAGCCATTTGCCCCATACACCCCCTCCCCCCCCCTTCAACACGCCGCCGGTCCAAAACCTACCATTATTCTGCACAATATTCCAATCCCACACCCCCGTCGCCTTCGCCAACGTCCTACTCAACACCGGCAACCAATACCCCAACTCCCTCGCCTCCTCCTCCGTCACATCCGACACCTTCTCATGATGCGCCCTCGTCGTAACCAGCAAGTGCCCCGGCGACAACGGCATGATATCCAAAAACGCCATCACCAGCGGCGTGCTGAGCACCACGAATGCGGCCGGTGAGACGAGGTCCGCGTTGAAGGCTATGGGTGCGGAGGGGGGCGTCGCGGCGAAGGTTGTGCTGATGGTGCAGAATGGGCAGTCGCCCACGCATTGGGAGGGGTCGAAGGACATGCTGGGCAAGGAGGAAGGAGTTGTGCGCACTGTGGGTTTTGTAGCTACAGGCGCATTCCTGTACCCGTGTCGGCGAAAGAAATATCGGGTTGTCGTGGAGGAAATGGGTTATGGGCAAAAATTGTAGGTTGTGATGGTTTCCCCGGATTTGAGGTGCAGGCGGGCCGAGGTTCGTAGCGATGCGGCTCTAGTTCTATTATTGGGGTGAGGAACGATAACTTGGGCAGGGGAAAAAGGGAAATGATGGCATTTATATAGCATTACAGAATCTAAATCGGCTGGCAGTGACTATTCATTTGTTTTTCTTAGAGTCAGGGAAGGTTTGTGCAGAGAAGATTGTGCACTGGACTATGAATATGGAGATCGAAGCATGAGCATGGGGAGCGATTGACATTTGGGGCTGGCTTATCGGTGGGGACTGGCTCGGCATTCAGGGTTCCATTATCCTTATCATATTGTCAGGAGTAAAGTACTCTACTCTCTCATCTACACCCTTTTCAAGCAAGCTTTTGGATTTAACTTCCTGTAATTATTACAAAATATTCTACCTCTATATAAAAAAGGCATCTGTATAGATGAGGTGGATGGTCTCGCAACCATGCGTATAAAAACTCGCTCCAAGAACACCCCCAAAAAGGATTCCCAACTGTGTATTTCCGCTGTATTTTTGCTGGCACTGGTATCGCACGCTCATTTACTCTCAAACGACACTCTTATCCTTCTTAATCGACGATGACCCCTTAAACAGGACACTAATCGCGGACTGCTTCTTCGGTTTCTTCTCCTTCCCCTCTTTCTCCTTCTTCGGCTTCACCGTGCTCTCCGACCTCCCCGTCTCCGACTTCGACGTCCGCCGACTCTTAGTCGTCTTAGACGTCCGACTCGACCTCTCCGTCCGCGCACTCTCCGTCACAACCGTCCGACTCGAATCCATATACACCGGCACCGGCTTCCTCCTGACCGTGCTCGCGTTACTACTCGCGCCCACCGATGGCGACCGTGGCGCACCACTCCGCTCCTCCATAGCTCTGTCCCTGATCCGCTGCTTGCGCAGTATCTCCGCTTTAGGGGTTATGTACTCCCCATCCACGCTGGTCGAGACACTCTCCCCCCCAACCTCCGCAATACCCTGGCGCCAAGACTCGATACTGTAGTTGTCTGCGTTAAAAACCATAGCTTCGTCCACGCGGTAGCTCTCGTCCACTTCCTTCTTGTCGCTGATCTCCTTCTGGATCTTCTTAATGATCTTGTATCCGCCGAACATGACGATCGTGACGCCCACTGCGACACCGCCGGCGATGAGGAATTGCGGCGAGCAGAGTAGTGCAAATGCAGCTGGCGAGGAGCTCTTGATCGCAGCCAGGAAGCCAGGGCCCATCTTCGTGAGGATGTTAGAGATCTCTGCGAGTGTGAGAGCCACCGCTGCCATGGCCTCGGGGTTCTTTTGTAACGAGGCGATAATCGTAGTAGCGGTGTGTTGCACGCAGTGCGCTTCAACCATTAGGTGATCGAGCTTGGACATGAGGCCATTTAACTCCTGTTTTTGCTCCTCCTGCTGTCGTGGGTAGACTTGCATAGCCAGGTCGGGCGGGAGTTCGCCATATGCCATATTCATATCGATACCATCGTCATGGTTGGGATTCGGGGAGGTCATGGAACGCTGAAGGGGAGGCGGAGGTGGGTAGTCGTGATAGTTGTAGCCCATAGGCGCGGGCTCGTATCGAGGAGGGAAATCCGTGTGGTGTCGGACGAGGGTAGGTCTCGAGGCATTGTAGTCTTCGGTGTATGGCGCTTGGTAGACCGTTGGAGCTTGATACGGCGCTTGGTAGACCGTTGGCGATCGATGCGAAGTCGCAGGTCTAGAGCCACCATATCTTGAGCCCGCGACGCTTCCGCTTGCTTCTGATGCGGCAGCTAAGTTCCGTTCCGTAAGGGCTGTGGCTGGTCTCCTCGACGACTCGCCTTCATGCTTCGGCCGACGACTTTTATGACTGCGATGTGAGCGCCTCGACGAAGCTACGGATCTGGACTCTTCGAGGCGGACATTCTCGAGCCTCCTCGCCAGCTTGTCCTCATTCTTGCCGTGTATCTCTGCTCGGATCTCGGCTTTCTTCTCTTGGTAGGCGTATTTCGCTTCTTTGAATATGTTGAGGAGGTGCTTGCTCTGTGGACTAGTTAGCTCCTTGAGGTGGCTCTGAGGGAGGGAGCTTTATTCGTACTGTGCCCACGATCTTCCCAGACTTGTTCACGATCGTTATTGTCTCCATGATGTGTAAATTCCAGGTGCTAGTGGTCCGGGCTGAGGACCAGCTTCATTCACCCAAAATGCTGTTGGGAGATGCTGGTCTAGTCTGGCCGGAAAGTTGCGGTGTAGTAATATGAGCGGCAAGCTCTCACCGACTCCAAGAAGCTGTGAATACACAACAAGGTATCCTTTCACAGCGTAGATCAAGAAGCAATCACAGATACTGCCTCGTCAACAAAAAGGTAGTTTGAAGCTCTACAAAAAAAGTCCACCGGGGACACGCAAAGCAATAAAGAAAGATCGAAGCCCCAAAATACCCGCCCAGGCCCGAAACAGGTCAGGCCTCTGCTGTCTTATCGCGATTGGCCGATTGCACGGATCTCTCCCTGGCGATGTCCCCGTAGCCCTGTAAGCTACGGGTTATAATTGAGGTACAAGTTACCCAAAAGTTAACGCGCGGCCCACTCTGGGGCAGCGAGACGTCAGTTTGGTCAGGTCAGGACGAGCCTGGAGTCGGAGAACAGGGCACAGTCGCAGTGCTGGCGCTTGCTGATTGAGTGCCCTGGGACTTGCGGTAGGAGTGGATGGGAGGGGCCGATGCAGGTTGGTTTACTTTAGAGGCATGCGCGTACAGTTCAGTATGAGTGGTAGTGGTGGTACTTTGTAATCCAAGAGTTGAGCTGGTCAGGGGTCTGCGGGAGGAGACTCCGCTCGACAGGTGAGGCTGTGCAGGTGTGGCTTGACTGCGGGTTGTGGTGATTGGTAGCCACCGGTGACAACGACGTACGCATGCACGATGGGATCGGGGCAGGAAAAGGAAGAAGAAAAAAACCTCGTTTTCATGATGTTTTGCATTTATTATGACAGGTTAACTAGTCTGGGTGCATGTACGCCTATTCTGAAACCCATACGCCGCCGCGGTTTTTTTCAGACAAGCCGGCCTGGCCGTACTGTTGCACAATTATTGTTGGCTTTCCTGTAACAAGACCAGGCGAACGCCGAACCACTGCTTTTACCGTGTGTGCGCCGAAGATGTTGGCAAACAGAAAGAAAGAAGTAAGAAAAAAACAACTCGAGGCAGCGAATCAACAGTATCGTCAATAACATCACATGCTCATGGTGGCTTCTGGGGTCTCCATGCGCTCCTCGAAGACCGAAGCGCTTCTGTCGTCCTCAGCGAGTTTCACCAGACGAGCCGTGAGCTCCTGGAGCTTCGCCTTCTCCTGTTGAAGGCTGCGGCGGCGTCGTGCGCTGTGGGGGTCCTCCTCCATAAGCTCGCGGCAACGCTCTTCGGCTAGTATCTCGTCAGTATGTCGCACATAAAGCACAGCAGGTAGGCTACTTACTATTTCCCTCGTACAGACCGAGTTTGCCTTCCAAGTAGAGAAAGATGTTTTCATGAACCTGCTTGAAGAGATCGCTGTGTATGGTGAGACAAATTTGATCGCAGACGCGGTCTGCGGCCGTGAGATAGTAGCCTCTAACGAAGGCGGCAACCTCAATCTCGATCTTGAACGGGTCTTCGCCCAGGTCCTCGTCCTTGATGCCCTTCAATTTATGCTGAAGCATTTGCATTCTTTGATTCTGGTCTCCTCTAATATTGACGCCAACCATCATCTGCTCCGCCAGGGCCATAGCGCGTTGCTTCCTGCGAACATCCTTGATCTTCTTCGACTCCACTTCCACGTAGTGATCAAATGATCTCCTGTTGATTGTAAAGAACCTGTAAAACTCAACATTCAGGATATCCTGGCACGTTGTTCTCATGCTGCCCTCGAAGTTATTAACAAAACCTTCGAGTTCCTGAAATGCCTGCTTGTACAGTTCTGTCTGGCTCCACTTCGAGAGGACTTGACCCAAGATCTTTTGAGCATGCTCCTTCAACATTTCAAGGACACGGTCAATGTACAGCTCCATAGGGAGCTCCCATACTCTGACGGCCCTCATGCAGAGCTCATCTTTAACCTTGAAGTCGACGTGGCCTAGAGATCCTGGCTTGCTGTACTTTGCCAAGGTTTCTCGAATCTTACCAATGCTGGCTATCAGCTTATTCTGCCTATAAGCTAGGAATGGGTTCTTCGGGTTTGCTGGAATACTGGGATACTTCTCAGCTCCATTCGCAAACCTCTTCGGAGATCTAATCTGTTGCTCCTCTTTGGCTGCAGCACGAACATTAGGCGGCGAATCAAATCCAGCTCTGTCAAGAACAGTGCTGTCGCCGTCTATGCTGATGATCTCAAGGCCATCGATCTCCATTTGGTTGGGAGGAGGGGGCAAACCCCGAGGCTCCCCGACCTTGAATGTTGGCTGTAGGTGCTCATGGAAAGCTTCGTAGAGTTGGTTGTTTAACGTATTCCACGCGCTATGAAGAGTAAAGTCTGTCCCATCCACGAGTGCCTGCATTTGCTGGCTGAACCTGGCGAGTTCTTGGAGCACAACTTGGCTTATGTTATGTGTTGGCAGCTCAGGCAGCCTCGCAAGCTCTTCCTCGATCTCCTCGGAGCGTGCGCGGACGGTCTCTTCGATCTGGGGGATGCTAGTCCTTATGTTAGCTGATATTACAAAAATAAACCCCCGATAGCTGCGATCATATTTCACGTACCTTGCTATTATCTGAGCAGCAAACTTCTGCGAAAGAGCGCGCTGCAGGTTTTCGGTTCCGCATCGATTGCGGTATCCGTTCCATCCTTTAGACCAAGGAGTCTGCTTGTCGAAAAAGTCCTCTTCACTCTTCCTCGATCTAGCATGGTATCCTCCGTCACGACTTGGATAGCCAGAGTCCGACGAAGTCTGCATCTGTTTGGTAACATAGTACCCATGCTCGACCTTATGAGTATGCCCGTCCAAAAGTTCCTTAAACTGGGAGTCAGAATGGCCAACCTGAAGACAATCTGCCTTGGTAAGAACACCAAGTGTTCGGTTTTCGGCTTTCAGATCACGTATGACCTTTCCAGCTCTCGAGGTCGTAGGATCCGCCGACATTGGTAGGGCATGGATAACAAGCGCCTGTTGGTGCTTGATGTACTTCTTTGCGAGATTCTCCACAACCTTCACCAGGTAGTCATCTTCCTTTTGGCTAGGATTTTGAAATATCCCGGGAAGATCAAAGAAGGATAGAGGAGGAAGGCCTGGGCCAGACATCTCGACCGATACCACATTTGGCGAGAATTTAGCCTCAGTTGTCATATTCCTACCTGGAGACATCTTGATCTGGGCACTAGGCATATAGTATTTGTGCGACTTGGAGGGGTTCAGAATCGCGATTTGAGCCCATCTCAAGGCGTCCTCAAGCTCACTCTTATCAGTGATGACAACAAACTCTTTTGTCACCATGGGCATCTCCTTCCACGGCGGGAAGGGGTTGTTTTTGGTGACTTCATTCGCTTGAATTGGGCGGTTGGGATCTCGCGGCGCGTAATTATATGAAAGGTGCAATGAGATCTTGCAGCTCCATGTCTCTGCATGGCCTGTCTTGATGTGGGTAGGACATCTTGTGCAGCATCCCGAGTCTTGAGGGAGATGAATTTCGGTGAGAGCTCCCATCAAGCTTGACTTTCCTATGCCAGTTGTCAGTTCTTGTCTCGGTTCAAAGCGTTTTTGTTTGACCCACCTGCACTCTGGTCACCAACGAGGACAAGTTGAGGTAGATCAACAAGATAGTCGACACCCATTCCTCGGATGTCGTTGATAGCATCAACAAGAACTTGTACACGGCGCCCGACAATGTGAAGCCCAGATTCCTGGGAGGGAGCAGATGATCGCTGCATAGGTGGAAGAACTAAATAGTAAGCAATAGGTCGGTGCCACGCGTTGAGTAGAACATACCAGGGAGGGTCTGAGAAAACTCAGAGGCCGCCGGTGTGATGGATCCATTTCCAGTGAACCTGAAAGTATCACTGGATGGCACTGGTAGGCCATGAGCTTCGAAAGATGAATTAAAATCATCCATGTTGACATCATCCACCATGGCCTTCTGGTAATTTGATCTCGCAGGAGGCATCTTGGGAATGCGGTGTAACCTAGGAACAGATTCTGCCTTGAGACTGTTCATGGAAGTTGCAAAATACAGACTTGTTCTGCGGGGGATTAGCTTCCTTCAGTAGTTTTGTGCCATACGGTATAAAGGTGGAAGAAATAAGTTGTGTGAGCCAGAAAGTCCCATGTAGTGGGTGAAATAAACAAAAGTTAGAAAGGGAACTCCCATTTAGCGTGGAGTTTTGTTGTTGGAGCTTTCACGTCGAGTCCCGAGCAGGTAAACTAACAACTGAAGTAAAGGGAAACTGCGTACCTAAAAGAACAGGTCTGTGGAAAAAAGACGCGAGGTAAAGAGCCGTAGCAAGGTATCACAGCATATAATATACAAAGGCAACGTGGGTCTTTTCACCACTGCCTACTGCATAGAATACAAGGCGTAAAAAGATGGTAAATGTATGGATGATATAATTTCTGGAGCGAAATAAAGTGAACAAAATAAAATTCGGCCAGGTTCTTCAGTCCTTGTCAGAGTATCATACAACCAACTACTAGTAGGTGTATAGTACAATAATACGTCTCAACAACCTGAAGCTGAAGTGAATTTGACTTGGCTTGTGGGCTTGACTTGAACGGAATGGATTGCACAACGAGGACCGCTTTGTCGGAGAAATACGAATACAGAATAGCAATTGGTAAGAGAAGTAAAGCAAGTCCAATCGAAGGAAGATGCACTCAATTTATATTTGCATGAGCACAACGCGAGAATACCAGCCCCCCGAGCATTGCAGGATGCTTCGGAACAGACGGAGATTCGAAAGAGATTCGAAAGCCTATCATATTTCGCAAAAGAGTCGCCATTGCAACACTTATCTCAAATATGTGAGGGGTATCGTAAGTCATACAAGGAAGAGAATGCATCCTGTCCAATAACTACGGAGAGAAGAATGGAGACGACGCTCCCCGCACTGTCGTGGGAGATTTGATGTTCTGCGCTTATTTAAGCTTAACTTGTCATCCACGGACAAACGCACGCGGCTGATACGATTACCACCAGAATTATGCGTCTCGGCTATCTTGAGAGTGAGCACCTCCGTCCTTAATCAGTGAACAGATACAAAGGGGCTATCATTCCAACTTGCCGTCTGTTGCCCGATCTGTCTCAGCTACTGCAGCCAAGTATTGATTAGGCAACACAGGGGCTATTTTTTCATAGGAATTCACGGTCGCACAGGTTCCCCTACCAATTTTTGCTGTGGAAAGTGATGAGGCCGTGACTGGCGGTGAAAACACCTCTGTCGTACAAGTCACTTTTTTTGCTTTCCTGTCTTTGTCGGAATTGCTGTGCGCACAATAATTTCGTCGAAGGCGAGTCAGTACTGGTTCGGGCCAGTATCATAGAAATAATTGCCGCGAGAGATACATAGTCAATTAAAAACCGAAATCTAAACCTCCAAACTGGTACAAATGGCCGCCATGGCTAATTTACCCAATGGCTGGTCAACAATGGGACACGATGAAATAAACCCATCACGTGAACTCGTACTTGGTCGGAACATCATTTTTCCAGCTGCCCCTTGTGCCTCAGTGGGATGTTCCAGACAACAAGGCGACCGATAATATCTGTTCACACAAGCCAGGAACTCCTTGCGCGCAGCTACGATCACATAGCAAATATGTCTCTCCAGGTCCCACACAGAGAGAAGCAGAATGGTGCTGGTGGCCACAACACCAAGGCCGTCATCTTGGTGAGCTCACGCAGCAAATACGGTGTCCGTTCGAGGTAATTGATACTTTTACAGGTTGGCGGCCCCTCCAGGGGAACCAGATTCAGACCTCTTTCTCTTGACGTCCCAAAGGTAATTCCCCCTCCTCCATCCCTATCTACGAGGTCTCAATTCTAACTCGCCCTCAACAGCCCTTGTTCGACATCGCCGGCCACCCCATCATCTGGCACTGCCTGACCGCCATTGCCAAAGTGCCCGACATCCAAGAAGTGTGCATGATCGGCTACTACGACGAGACCGTCTTCCGCGACTTCATCAAAGACGCCAGCCACGAGTTCCCCGAGCTGACCATCAAATACCTGCGCGAGTACGAAGCCCTCGGCACCGCCGGCGGGCTCTACCACTTCCGCGACGCCATCCTTAAGGGCAAGCCCGAGCGCTTCTTCGTCCTCAACGCCGACGTCTGCTGCTCCTTCCCCCTCAACGACATGCTCAAGCTCTTCGAGGAGCGCGACGCCGAGGCCGTCATCCTCGGGACCCGCGTGAGCGAGGACGCCGCCTCGAACTTCGGCTGCATCGTCTCCGACCCTCACTCGAAGCGCGTACTCCACTACGTCGAGAAGCCCGAGTCCCACATCTCCAACCTCATCAACTGCGGCGTGTACCTCTTCTCGACCGAGACCATCTTCCCCTCCATCCGCAGCGCCATCAAGCGCCGCTCCGACCGTCCACGCCTGTACACCTACCCCTCCTCTGAGAACCTCTCCTCGTCCTACTTCAACGACGACGACGAGGCCAAGAACGAGGTCCTCCGCCTCGAGCAGGACATCCTCGCCGACCTCGCAGACAGCAGACAGTTCTTCGTGCACGAGACCAAGGATTTCTGGCGCCAGATCAAAACCGCCGGCTCTGCCGTCCCCGCAAACGCCCTCTACCTCCAGAAGGCCTGGCAGACCAACCCGGCCGAGCTCGCAAAGCCGTCCGCCAACATCCTGCCACCCGTCTTCATCCACCCAACCGCCCAGGTCGACCCAACCGCCAAGCTGGGCCCGAATGTGTCGATTGGTCCCCGCGCGGTCATTGGTGCCGGTGTGCGTATTAAGGAGAGCATCGTCCTCGAGAACTGCGAGGTTAAGCACGATGCGTGTGTGCTTTACTCGATTCTCGGGTGGAACAGCCGCATTGGTGCGTGGGCGCGTGTGGAGGGCACGCCGACTCCCGTGAATAGCCATACGACGAGCATCATCAAGAATGGGGTTAAGGTGCAGAGTATTACGATTTTGGGGAAGGAGTGTGGGGTGGGGGAGGAGGTGAGGGTGCAGAATTGTGTTTGTTTGCCGTACAAGGAGCTGAAGAGGGTGAGTCTTTTTTCCCCTTCCCCTTACTACCCGTCATCTACAAGATCACGGGGTTTCTGGGGATGTGTGTGAGTTGAGTGAACGAGTGCTAACAAGATTCCAGGACGTCGCCAACGAAGTCATCATGTAAACACTTATCGTGTGCCCCGTCCACCCAACGTAAACATCTTACCATTCACCACCGCCATCTTTGGAATTTCACGCAGACCCGCCCCATTTCAAGATCGATTTATTTGCGCCTCCCGCGGGTGTTTGCGAGGAGGAGGAAGTTAGATAGAGTAATGAACATATCATCATCACCTTCACCACCATACGATCGCTGGCCAAGATGCTTTGAGACATCATACCGCTGCTGGCCAAGATGCAGTTTGAGACTCCACGTGAGCATGTCTGTCGGATCTCAATGCATTGCATGATGCTGCTGTATCACGCACAGCTGCCCGCGCGCAGCCAAGACTGTAGGTCATCGCACTTCACATACTAGAAGCATGGCAACTTCTCGCAGGAATTACTGCAAATGCCTCAGCCGCTGTAGAATCAGAAATAAACTTGGGGACGACGACTGCATAATCCCCTAATAAACCCCAACCCCAACCTCCCTCATCCATCCTCGGCTCCCATCCCGCCAACCGCCAAGCCCCTCCCTCACCACACCATCGTCACCATAACCCCCCTATCACCCCTCCAAGGAGGAGGAGATACGGACCATTCCCGCCCTCAATGACGTATCCTATCTCGGTATCCCTATCTGCAGATGTCTTATCCGCCCTGTCCGTCCCCCCCTACCCCTACTACCGCCGCTACACTCCCATTTCCCCGAATTTGGTGCTGGAAGGGGTGAGATGCAGATAAGGACGGGGGAAGCTCTTATCACACACCACCACAACGAAGCTACCCACGACAACCACCTTCCTCCACTCCATCACCTTCGCACCAGCGAGCACAGCTCGGTGTTACAACAGTGCTCCCTCACCCCTCTTTCTACACCACATCACATACATTATCGTGTCCTCACGTACAAATTCGATCGGTACAACCATCCGATCAATCCCAACTTCCCTTCGCCCCTGCCCCACCATCCCCACCACAAACGTTTTCACGTGCAAACTTGGACCCACCATCCACGCAACCGCTTGCAACGCCTGCAACGCCTTAGGGAAATGTCGGGTCCGGGGGGCCTACTTGCTACGCCTGGGCGAATATTCGGTAATCGGGAGAATGGGACGGGTGCGGGATTAATTATAGAACGGATTATTTTTTTATCTGATTGCTCGGGATTAGGGGGGGATGAGAGATGGGGGTGGTGGGTGGTGGGTGGTGGGTGGTGAGGGAGGGAGGGAGGGAGGGGAGAGCAACCTTGGAGGGTTTGTGGGGGTGGGATGGATGGGTGGGATGGGGGTTTATAGGTATGGGAGTATGGGGAAGGAAGCTCTATAGAAAATGAACCTCCGTCCCCCTCATGAATGGGAGCAGCCATGAAGCATAACGGCATCTATCTTCACTACTGCCTCCCAAGCTGAGCTGAAGATGATCTATCACTGCCGACGCAGCGGCGGCTGGAAGGTCACACAGCGATTCGCCATCCCGCGGCTTCCCTCGGCCACCACCAGCCTCACATATTTTGTCCGACGCCAATTATCGTGAAAAAATCGCCTGATTCCCCAATTCGGAACAGGGATGTATTCCCCCTTTGTAACAAAACATCGAGTACATACCAAACCATGCACTTCGCCCCAATTCCGCCGGGGCCAGTCCAGTGACGTTCGTTTTTGGAGCGTTTCGGCATCAAGGAGCTTCGCTAGTTATTAGAGCGAGGCTTCTCGGAAGGGGGGGGAAAGTGATTTGCCGCTTAGTTCCCGTGTTTTCGTTCTGGAAGATAGCCGTGTGTACTATGCGTGAGGCATGGGGTACTTGGTACCTTACGGCGTACGCAGGGCCATGAGTCGGTGGGCTGGTCAGTTGGTCTTGCTGGTTTGTTTGCCTGGCTGCCTGTTCTGGGTAGCTGGCTGGCTGGTTGGCGTAAGTTTTCTCCGCACTTTTCACTCACTCAGTAGGTAGGTAAATAATCGACCTTGGGGGGTTCTCGGCACATACCAGTTGGGCTGGGTTGGGGGATAGGATGGGAGACGGGTACGGGAGGTATTGGCGCTCCATTGGCACCGCATTGGCACACCCCGCATTAATCCATCGGCGGTGCCGGTGATGATTGGCGCTTGCGAGACTCGCGGTCTGGACCTCTCTCTACAGGGTATGCTGGGCTGGGCTGGAAGTGGTAATGTGATGTGATGAGCGATGACATTCACGCCCTGTCTGACTTGCGACTTAAAAAGAGATGAGATATTGCTCAATGGGACGGTGAAGCCCGGTCGGTGAGGGCCGGGCGCGGTCATGCTCGTGCCTGAATTTTTATTTGTTTGGCGGACGGCGGGGGGCCAGGATCGCTGGGTTGATCACCTGGTCGTACAGTTCGTAGGTAAGTGCTGTTTTGGGACACGAGAGGGAGCCATACAGAGCCTCGCTGGCGGTGTTTGGTCGGCGGTGGTCGTGTGCCAAGGGGTAGCTTGCGTGGCGGGAGAGGAGTATTTTTGGTGGTGGTGGCGGTGATGCGGGCGAGGCCTAGAATGGTGATGGTACGGGTTTTTGGATGCAAGTGTTTGGCATGCTGTTCTGTGTCTCGATTTCTTTTCTCTCTGCATCATCACCAAGACCGGGGACTGTGAGACCCAAGGCCCAAGACCCGAGACCCAAGACCGAAGACTTCCTTCCAGCCAGCCCTGCTGGCATGATGCATTCTACAATGCTGGGCATTCTACGGTGCTGGGTTTACTTTCTTTACCATGTAGATTCCAAGCCATTGAATGCCTGCAAAAGTGAAGAAACTGATAATCGTACATGCCTGATCAGACTATCGTGGTATGTACTCCATACTTGGTAGGATACTTACTGCCGCTTTCTGTAAATATGAAGCTACGATGAGAACCGGCTCGGCAAGGATTACCATAGACTGGGTCCTGAGTGGCTGAAGTGGCTGGTTAGGAGCGCTACTTTAGTCACAGTGGCATGGACTACCATCGATCAAGTACCTATTTTAGCCCATCCCAGCCCATCCCAGCCCATGAAACCAAGGCTGTACACCCCGTACCAGGTCAGGCTGACCTGCAAATACCACGCAAACCACGCAAACCACGCAAAATACCACAAAAATACACAAAAACACGCAAAAACACGCAAAATCAGGTTGGACCCACTGTTTTGGATAGACGTCATTGGCTCTACCTACCCCGTTCACCACATTTCTCCCCATCTGGTCTTTGTCACGCCCCCTTCAATCCCCATCCCAAACCCCATCCAGCCCATCTAAGCCCATACAAGCCCATACAAGCCCATTAAAACATCTCCGACTTCCTCCGGCTCATTATTCTGCCCGCTCCGAAATGCCACTCCTACACACCACTCAAACACCACTCTACACCAACTTCTAAACCACTGACCTGCCTATTGTCCACTACAGTCCACTCACCAGTCCACTCTTTGTCCACTGTACCTGCCTAACTTCACTCACTGCCCCTAACACTTCCTAAACATCGTAACTTCCGTAACATCACGTCTCTTCTTTCCTCCTTCTTCCGACTTTCTCCTTGCTCTTTCTATACCTGCGCCTTATAAAACTCGGCTCGGAACCTCTCCTTGACCAACTACAAATATCCCACTCCTGCCATTGGTCCATTCACCTCTTCTCACCCACAAGTCACCCACATCATCACACATCTGTTTGTCCTCTCACCACTCTTACTCCACACTCTCATCTCTTAGCAGCCTCACGGTCCCGAGACTAGACCTTCCATTCCAAAGAGTTACCCGTTTCTCTCCCGAAGATACAATCATCGTCCCTCCATGGCTCCTGTACTTAAAGAAGGCGATGGCCCAACTCGTCGTCCTATGACCCCTACTCCCGATCCATCACACCTTGGCCCTCGATCTAAACAACTTGCATCTGGAAATCTGAACTACCACTCCACTTCACTGCGCACCATGGTTTCCAACACCGTCAACAAGACCGCCCTGCACCCGGGTGGTGTTGCGTGAGTTTCCCACTTGCTCCTGCCTGTCCCTCAGACCTCGTCGTCGTTGCCTGTCTACCTGCCTCGGATCAATATACTGACTACATGCGTGTCTTAGACCTTCTTTCGAGCACACTGAGCTCGAGGAGGAGCTCCACGAGAAGGCCAACCTCGACTATGACCGCGTTGCCATCGTATGTCCTGCCTGCCACTCTCTGAAAATCTAACCCCACTGACATATGCTCTCTCAGGTCCCCAACCCCTCAGTCGCTGCCCTCTACGAAGATGCCTTAGTTTACGAGACCGGTTCAGCCATCACATCGAGCGGTGCTCTTACTGCATACTCCGGAAAGAAGACCGGCAGATCTCCTCTCGACAAGCGTATTGTCAAGGAGCCATCTTCTGAGAACGAGATCTGGTGGGGCCCTGTTAACAAGCCAATGACTACTGAGGTAAGAGAACCTTTTTTTGCGAATATCTACATGTCTACATTTTGTATCCCTACCCCGGATCCCGTGCTCCCAAGACCTCAATGCGTCTGCATTGGCACGCTTACGTCTTGTTGTCGTCGCATTACGATAATGCGCGAGGGTGATGTTTCGGCTTTCCTCGGGTGCCAATTCCGACCTGACATCACTGCCCTGTTACCCCGCCTTCTGGTTTTGACTGCCGTTGGCGTTACCGACAACCGTAGCTCGCCAAGACAACATCCCCCAAAATTTCCCCACCATCACGTGCACTCTTCACAGTTTATCACATTATGCCACCACACAAACATTGAGCGTTTGCTAACTCTATATTATCAAAGGTCTGGAAGATTAACCGCGAGAGAGCCATTGATTACCTCAACACAAGGAACCGCATCTACGTTATCGACGGTTACGCAGGATGGGACAAGAAGTACCAAATCAAGGTCCGCGTCGTCTGCGCGCGTGCCTACCACGCTCTGTTCATGCGCAACATGCTTATCCGCCCGGAGAGATCTGAGCTTGAGCACTTCCACCCCGATTACACCATCTACAACGCCGGTTCTTTCCCAGCAAACAGATTCACTGAGGGCATGACCTCCGCCACTTCGGTTGCCATCAACTTCGCCGACAAGGAGATGGTTATCCTCGGTACCGAGTACGCTGGTGAGATGAAGAAGGGTGTTTTCACAGTTCTCTTCTACGAGATGCCGGTCAAGCACAACGTGCTCACCCTGCACTCCTCCGCCAACGAGGGCAAGGATGGCGATGTCACCGTTTTCTTCGGTCTCTCTGGTACCGGAAAGACCACTCTGTCTGCTGACCCCAACCGCCAGCTGATCGGTGATGACGAGCACTGCTGGTCCGACCGTGGTGTCTTCAACATCGAGGGTGGCTGCTACGCCAAGTGCGTCGGCCTGTCCGCCGAGAAGGAGCCCGATATTTACGGCGCCATCAAGTACGGCTCCGTCCTCGAGAACGTCGTGTTCAACCAAGATACCCGCCACGTCGACTACGACGACATCACCCTCACCGAGAACACCCGCTGCGCCTACCCCATCGAGTACATCCAGAACGCCAAGATCCCCTGCGTCTCCTCCAGCCACCCCACCAACATCATCCTCCTCACCTGCGACGCGCGCGGTGTCCTCCCCCCCATCTCGAAGCTCAACTCCGCCCAGACCATGTTCCACTTCATCTCCGGCTACACCTCCAAGATGGCCGGCACCGAAGAGGGCGTCACCGAGCCCCAAGCCACCTTCTCCTCGTGCTTCGCCCAGCCCTTCCTCGCCCTCCACCCCATGCGCTACGCCAAGATGCTGGCCTCCAAGATCGAGGAGCACAAGGCCAACGCCTGGCTCCTCAACACCGGATGGGTTGGTGCCGGTGCCGCCACCGGTGGCAAGCGCTGCCCGCTCAAGTACACTCGTGCTATCCTCGATGCTATCCACTCTGGTGAGCTCCAGAACGTCGAGTACGAGGTCTACGATACCTTCAACCTGTCCGTCCCCAAGACTTGCCCTAACGTCCCATCGGAGCTGCTTAACCCCCGCAACGCGTGGACTGCGGGTGATGAGAGCTTCAAGGCTGAGGTCAACAAGCTTGGTGTTCTGTTCAATGAGAACTTCAAGAAGTACTCTGATGAGGCGACTGAGGATGTTATCGCTGCTGGCCCGAAAACGACTTAAGCGCCGTGTTTTAGAGACGTGGTCGCATTGTTTTCCTATTTTAAGGGATTTTGAGTGGTAGTTGTTAATGTCTTGATGTCCATGGCTTTTGATATTTGTGTTTTTGGGAATTTTAGGGCGTTGAGAAGAAAAACAAGATTGGAAGTGAAAGCTTTTCTTTTTTTAAAGTTTGCTGCCGTGTCTCCCTGAGAGGGTGATTCACGAGGAAGGAAGGATAGAGAGGAAGAGAGATCGCGAGGTACCTGCTACTGCATTGCGTTTTGCGTTTCGGCCGCATTGCATGCTTTTGAGAGATGGGATGTCCATGTAACTCGTTCATGAGCGGGTGAGGGAATCTTAGATGGGGTTGGGAGAGATAATATTAAGACCTTTCTTCAATTGCCGTGTTTTTGCATGTCTTTCGTTTTTATTCAGTGATGAGAGAAAATGCTGTAATCACTTAATCTACTTCTAACCTACAGTCCCCCCCCCCAACTTCCCTCATCATTTCCCACGCAAACAAGAATTAACAAAGTTAACATTAGCGCCCCCTTTGTTGGTGCGGTTTTCCTCAACTGGTGAAACGAACAAGGCATCCAGCCAGGCCTTGTCAGCAGCCCAACTTGCTGATCGACGTGTCAGCCTCAAGGTGAGCCTTAAGTGAATCCAGAGCCTTGACATCTCTAGACTTCAGCACACCTTCCTTAGTCGCCTTTAACGCTTCAAAGATACAGTTCTCGTTCGTAGAGTAGTTGCTAATGACGCTCGCTCAATTAGTGAAGCTATCCCCCCCCCTTTCCTAAGAGAATGTTATACGAAGTTATGCTATAAACAATGAAGAAGAACTTTAGAATCTACTCTATGCCTACGTACGACTTTCACTAGCAAGAGGACATATGATGTTAACGCGTGTATAGCAGCAGCCCCGTTAACATTGCGCATTCGAAGTCCTGTAGTGTCTTCATATTATGCACCACAATCAAGTTATCTAGCGACTGTAGCATTAATCAATTCTACTAGTAACCTGCTGTTAAACAAAGACTTGCGTGATTTCAAAGTCCTTAGTTTTTCATTTAACATAGATCGGATAGTGCGAACTAGTATACAAACATGGCAGCGGAGTTCCCTGCTCAAATCCAACACAAAATTCCCGGTCTAGCAGACTTAGTCGATATCGTGGACGAGCACTCCGTCTTTGGATGCGACGGCTACGCATTTTCGCCCTACGGTCGGGGAAGGTCATTAATCTCCTTTTCCGCATTCATAAATCTTGAAAAATAAGACTCTTACCCATCACCCTCCACGCATCCCCATCACTCAAGCAACCACCCACCCACCCACCATCACGACTCCCCCCTCCAAGCCCTCCACCCCACCACAACAGGCCCCACCACAAACGCCCCCACCACCAACAACATCATGAACCCCATCGTCATCGCGCAGAATGCGAGGAACCCAAAGTCCATGCCCACCATCACGTACTGTTCGAGAGTTCTGTGGAGGGCCTCGAGTTTCTCGAGGCGGGTTGGGGGGGGGGGGAGGTTTTGTAGGGGCGCAGGGGGGAGGAGGAGAGGGTTGGGCGGAGATGGGGAGGGTTTGTGTGCCTCGGTGTGTCTGCTGAGGTGGTGGGAGGGGTTGGGCGCCCGTGGTGGTTGAGGGGTTGTGCATTTTTGGTTTTGGTGGTTAAGGGGTTGGTGGTGTTTGAGAGGTTCGAGGTGCTGGGTTTGGGATTGGTGGGTGGTGATTGGTTTAGAAAAGTATGTGGTGGTATGGTTGTTTATATCCTTTTTCTAAGAAAGGAAATAATGAGGTGATACCCCCCTGATCCGACTCCAGCTAATCCTCATACGACACCCACAATCCTCACAACAACACAACTCTCATACCACCCCTCCACCTCACCCTAGCCGAATCCCATACCAAACAAGCGCAAAAAACCCCCCCGCCATCAGCGCCATAAACCCAACCTCCATCACAGGAGATAGCGTCTCCAATATACTCCCCACGACCGGGGCGAGCTCCTTGAGGTTCGCATCGACCTTCTGGAGTTTTTCAGGTAAGGTGGTGGAGGGGGGCTTTGGGATGGGGGTTGGTGTGGGAGGAGGGGGGGGTGGGCGGGTAAAGGCAGAGGGGGTGGTTTGGGTGCCTTGATGTGTTTGGCGGAATGGTGGGTGGGAGGGAGGAGGCGTGGGTTGGGCGCCGGTGGTGGTGGTGGTGATGGTCGAGGGGCTGTGCATTTTTGGTGGGTTGAAGGGCGTTGTTTGTTGGATTTTTGAGAGTCTAGAGGGAGGGTGCTGGATTTTGGGTTGTAGGTAGGTGGTGATGGGTTCAGAGATGGGGGTTGCATAGTTCTATCTATATATCCCTTTCTAAGCAAGGAAATAATGAGGTGATACCCCTAATCAGTCCATCCACAATCCTCATACGATACCCCCATCCCACCTCACCCCTTCCCCAAACCACACCAAACAGCAGTGAAAACCATCCTCCCAATCAGCAGCACGATGAGGACAAGAGTAAATCCGGGCAACAGCAGTCGAGCTTCTTCTTCTTCTTGGGGTTTTGGAGAAAAGTGAAGGGGGGGGTGGCGCGAGAGAGGGCGCGGGTGCGGTGTAGATGCAGATGCAGGGGCTGGGTTGGGTGCCTTGGTGCGTTTTGTGGGGTGATGGGTTGTGGGGAGGAGGTCGGTTGGAGGGAGGACGTGAGTTGTAGGGAGGATGTGGGTTGTAGGGAGGACGTGGGCTGTATTGAGGATGTGGGTTGTAGGGAGAACGTGAGTCGTAAGGAGGAGGTGGGGGGAGTTGGGCACTGGTGGTTGCAGAGGGGTTGATCATTGTGCTTGTTTAAGAGGGGTGTAGGGGCGGGGTATTGGGCGGAGGAGTTGTAGAGGGCGGTTGGGGGATTCACTGGTGCGTTATTTATGAGGGCTGCTGGTTGGCGTTGGATAGATGGAAGTGGTGGGTTTGGGGTGTGTTGGTAATGGGTATTTGTAGTGGAGGTAGGAAGAAGAAGAAGTTGGTGATATGGGTGGGTGGTTAATTATCACTTATCAGTTCTATGAAAGGGAATAATGAGGAGATATCTAGCTACTCCTTCGGCGCGTGGTTCGAGGACGCCGAACCCTCGTACGACACCCCCCCTCCCCCCCCTTTTCCATCACCCCACGACCACCTTCCACCCTAGAACCAAACAATCACAGACTCCATACTACCCACCGCCTCATCTCCTCCACGCCCCAAACCCGAACACCGCCATAAACGCGATCACAAGCGGAATGGCCGCAAACGCCAGCATCAAGAGCCCAACCATTGTGCGCATCATAAGTTCCATTAAGGCCGGAAGGTACTCATCCAGTATGTTGTTGCACAAATTTATTTTTTCTAGGAGGGTGGTGGGGCGTTTGCGAGGGGCTGCTTGTGGTAGAGGGGAGTCGGTTTGGGTCCCGCGGCTATGCGTCTGGCGAGATGATAGTTGGTAGGGAGGAGGTGCGAGGGGTTGAGTGCCGGTGGTGGCTGGAGGGTTGTGCATTGTAGCTTGTTTATCGGGTTGGTTGTATTTGAGAGTTCAGAGGGAAGTGGCGGATTTTGGGATAGTGAGTGGTATTTTTAAGGAGGTTGTAAGAACAAGTCGGTGGTGTGGTGATTTATATCTATTTCCAGGAACAGAAGGAATGGGGCGATAACTAATACTCTAACACATGGTCTGTTGACGAGACATAATCCTCATACGATACCCTCCCCTTTACCCCCCCTTTAACCAGACCACGGCCATCGCCACCCCCTCGACAAGAAATACACTGCAACCCAAATGCAAAACACCAAGAGCGACACCACCATCAACGCGGTGATCAACATAAGCGACCCGCAAACCACGAATACAAATAGCTTTTCACAGACAGGCGAGTACAATTTCAGAGTTCTCTCCAGGCGCTCTCGTTTCTCGAGGACGGTGAGGGGGGGTTTTGTGCGTTTGACAGGTTTGACGGGTTTGACTGGTTTGGCGTATTTAAGAGATAGTGCCGCAAGGGAATCTGTTTCAAGCTTTGGAGGGGCCATATTTGATGGGTTTGATGGTAGGTTGAGAGGTTGGGGGTGGTGCGCTTGCGGTTCGTGGTAGGCGGTGGTGGTGGGAGGAGAGCTGTGTGGTGCGATGGTTCTTTATATTCATTCCCGGGAGAGGGGGGAATGAGGTGATTCCTGCTGCGACGACACATGGTTCGAGTACTGACAATCCTCATACAGCACCCCTTCCTCGTCCCTCTTTCGATAACCCCTAACCAACTTCCACCCTTGAACCGACAGGACCACCACCGCCACCACGACTAGTCCCACGGCCGCCCCCGTTGCCAACCCCGAGATAAATAGATACAATTTATCCATCACGAATTCGAATAGTCTTACACAGACTGGTGTTTTGGCGTTGTGGTTTGTTTTTTGTTTGGTGGTGGTAATTGGTAGTTGTAGGAGATGGGTTGCGTGATATGGTGGTGGCTTATATTGATTTCTAGGTAGGGAAAGAATGAGGTGATGTCTGATCTGACGACACATAATCCTCATACGATACCCCTTCCTTCTTCCTCCGTCTTCCGATCAGCCCATAATAGCCTTCAATCCCTCAACCAACAGGCACAGCAACAGGGCCGATGCACCCCCCACAGTTAACACCACGAGCGTCGCCATCACCGTCCCCAAGATCACCATTAACCCCGCGTGCAACCCCAGTTCGAATAGTCTTACACAGACCGGCCCATACGCCTTTAGTGTTTCCTCGAGGCGCTCAAGTTTTACGAGCAGACTGGTGGCGGGCTCTGCTGGGGCGGGCGGGGTTTTGCGGCATAACAAGCAGGGAGGTGGGCATGGTGGTGGAAGTACGGAAGGGGGGGGCTTGAAATTGTGCGCGGCGGTTTTTGGGGTGTGCATTTTTCTGGTTTTTGGACACTGCGGTGTTTGGATGTTTGGTGTTGTGGATTTTTAGTTTAAAGGCGGTAATAAGGTTATTCTGGCGGAGGTAGTGGGAGTGGACGTGGGTAGTGTGGTTCCTTATATTTATTTCCAGGAAAGGAAAGAGTGAGGTGATAACTAGAAGTCGTACGTTCCGGAGTGGTCGTATGATGCTACTTCCTTTGACACCCCAACCCCCATCTTTTCCGAGAATCATTAGTCCCTCCATGCCCGGAAACCTTTCACCGAGCAAGCTGCAGCTACCAGTCTAGGAGATGAAGACAGCTATGAGTTCTCCATAGCTGTCTTCCCCCCCTGGTACAACGCGAACAACGCCGCTCCTACGCTAAATAGCACCAGCGGTACCGCGCCTACCATTACCACCGTCGCCAGTGACGCGCCAAGCACGAATACGAAGATGTTCTGTAGGGCGGGGGGCCGGGGCGCGATGGATGCGGTTTCAAGCCTTGGAAGTGCCATTTTGTGGGTTCGTTGGTGTTTTGAGACTTTACTGTAGGCGTGATGATTATTTTTCGAGGTGGGGGTTTGAAAGTAGAGTGATGGGTAGTGTGGTGGTTTATATTCATTTCTAAGAACGGAAATAATGAGGTGATAAAAGCAACATGGTCCGACCTGGAATTAACTTCGTACGATACCGCTTCTCATATCACCTAGTCCCCCCCTTCATAAAAGCTGTCCATATCTCCACGTCCTCAAGGACCCATCGGGCAACATCTCCTCCTTCGATTAAGTGAGAACCAGCTTTACGCCCTGAACCAACAAGAATAACGCAAGTCCTATGCCTCCTAGTAAGGCAGTAACCAGGGCTATTATCGCCAGCGCCCCCAAAGATGTGAGCGTTATGAATTCAAAGCATCTCACGAGGATGGGGCCGTATGTCTGAAAGCTTGCGTCAAGGCGGCTGAGTTTCTCCAGGAGGGTTGGGGGTGGTCGAGGGGCGATGGATGCGGTTTCGAGCTTTGGTAGGGCCATTTTGGGAGGTTGGTGGCGTTTGACGGTTTGGGTTTGTGTGTGTTTATTTGGGGCGGTGTGCGATGTGGATTGGTATAGTTATCGTGATAGGAGGTGGTGAAGAGTTGTGGGAAGTGTGATGGTTTATATTTTTAAGAAAGGAACGAATGAGATCATATCTAGAAGCCACATCGCCCAAGGGCATATAATCGTCGTATGATAATGTCACACTCTTCATCCCTTCCCGACAACTGTTTAACTTCATGCACCTAGAGCGCATGAGGTGCTGACCCCGCCTTCGATCACAGGAAATGGCCTTCGCTCCTAAAATAACAAGTACAACACATTCCACACCAACACTACCACCAATCCTACAACAACCAGCCTGCTCGTCCAGAATGCTATCACTCCAATCTCAAATCCGAGGTCTGGGCCGTACCCGCCAAAAAATGCGTCATATTGCTTGAATCTCATTGAGATATCAGGAGTCCCCTGTAAAGGAGGGGGGTTCGTTTGAGTGCTGTGGTACGTGTAGCTTGCCTCTGGGTAGGAAGAAAAAGGCGAGGGGAGTTGGACCCCAGAGTTGTGTTTTGCTGTTTCGAAGTTATCAATTGCTGCTTCGAGGTTACTCATTGCCATTTCGAGGTTATTCATTGCTGTTTCAAGGTGATGCATTTTGATAACGTTCAGGATGCTTGAGTATTTCTTCTTAGCATTGTACTAGTAATAATTATCATTGGTACGTGGTGGTTTGGACAAGAAGTAGGTGGTGTAATTCTTTATATTCATTTCTAGGAAGGGAAGGAATGAGGTGATAGCTAGAAGCGGCATGGTCTAAAGGAGCATAATGATCATACGATATTTCTTCCTTCCGACTATCGACTGCCCCATCCTTTTCTAAAATTCAGAGCGCACAAGGAACTAACCTTCACTTACATCAAAAGAAAATCGCCTTCACCCCTAGGAAAAATAGATACAATAATCCGCCAATCAATTCCATCGCAACTACAACTGCAACTATCACCCCAAGACATATCATCAACGTGTGGACCACGTGTCCGGCCAGATCCTCCAGCTCTGGGCTGTACTCGCTCAAAGTTTTGTTGAGCTGCTCTTGAGTTATTCAGGCGGCTGATCTAAGATTTCTGACGCGAGGGTGGCATCATTGGTGTGCTGCTGGCTGGAGAAGTTTGGGCCGACCTTGGCATTGGTGGGTAGAGAGGGGGAGACGAGTTAGACTAGGTATTAGAGTTGTGCATAGCGGATTCGAGGTCATGCATTGCTGTTTTATTTCTGGGTGGTAGGTCGATGTCGTCTAGGAGTTGGAGGTGGTGGTTTTTTATCTTGGACTATGGATGGGAATATATATTGTGCTAGGAGGTGGAAGGCGGTAGTCTGTATTCATTTCCTAGAAAGCAAGAAATGAGGTGATAGTTGGAAGCGGCATGATCTAGGGGCACATGGTCGTACTATTGTACTACTTTTAAATTATCGGTCGCTTCTCTGTTTCTAGACAACTGTTCATCTCTGCGCTCCTTGATCCGTTGGGCAACCCTCTACCATTTGATTAATGAAAAACTGCCTTCGCCCCCAGGATCAGTACGTGCAACACAAGTCCCAGCAGCCCCACCGCCACCCCCAAGGCAACCAATGCGACCGTTACCAACCCTATTGTGCCAAGCACGAAGCCGAATAGCTCCATGAGTACTGGGGTATATGCCTTTAAAGTTGCGTCAAGCTTCTTGAGTTTCTCCAGGCGACTAATAGGCGGCATTTTGGGTAGCTGCGGCACGGGGTAGGCTCGGGGAGTTGCGTGTCTCGCTGGGGAGGTTTGGATAGGAGGGGGTTGGCTTCGGTGTTGTGCATTGTTATTTTGAGCGGGTGTTGCTGTCGTCAAGAATATAGAAATGGTGGATTTTGAGTTGAGGATATGCGTAGGGGAAATTATCGTAATGGGTGGTTTTTATGGAAGGTGGGGGGTGCGGTGGCTTGTATTCATGTATAAGAGTAGTCATAGAAGCGGTTTCATTATCATCGTACGTTTCTCCTTTTTTCCTACTATCGCCCATCCCGTACTTTCCTAACAGGTGTTTGTCTCTCCGTGCCGTGTTCCCCAAGCGCGTCGGGCAACACCCTCCTCCTTTCGATCAACGGACGCATGCCTTCAGCCCATCGAGCAGCAAAGACCCCGCTAAAACCATAAGCCCCCAAACGACGAAGAGCGCCATTGCGGACACGAGCAATATGCCGAACATATTAACCCTAGTGTTTCAGCGAAGATCAGGAAGAACGCGCTTAACTTTGCGTGGAGCTGCTTTAGGGAATCCAACCAGCTGATGGGAGGACGCTTCTGTGGCGGGATCGGGGCTGTTTAGGTGAGTTTGTGCCTGTAGGTTGATGGTGAGGCTCGGCGCATGGTGGGTTCATGGTTGTTATTGGTGGCTTCGACGTTATGCATTGCTATTCTCTGTGGGTGTCTGAGAGATGGGAAATCATGGTAGCGATTTTTTTGGAGGTATACTGTGGCAGGAGGTAGTTCAGATAGAAGGTGGGTAAGTGGTGACTTAGTTTCATATCCAAGAACGGAAGGACCAAGTGTGATAGCTAGCTCGAAATTGCGTGGTCTAATGATAAATGAAGCTATCCGGCAACATGATCATCATCATCATACGATACATCTTGCGACTTAAGCTCCCTCCCTTCTCGAATATTTTCTAACGTGCCAAAACTACCTATCTATCCATACCTTCCATTACCACAACTCCTCGCCGATATGGAAATGAATATCTCGAAGACAAGAATTGATATCTCTGAACTTTCAGACGACGCCAGCGAGCATCCCGAAGCTGTGGACGACGGGAATCAGGATACTATAGGCCAAGATCTCTCTTCTGGCCCACCTCGATATCTGGACAACAGCATACAAACAAGAGCCAAAAAGTTTTTACAATTTCTTAAGAGTGTCGCAAATGAAGCAGGATCCATCAGAATTATTGCGACCATGGTCTTTGCGATTACTCTATTTATGTGCAGTATTTTTATCATGACGGCCGAGATGATTGCGTTCTATCATGGAACTCATGACTTCAAAATGATTATATCTATATTAGCGATGACATGCGCGGAGATCTGCATTGCGGAGCCGAGAAGAATGGGGCGTGGGTGCGGATATAGATGTAGATGTGGATGATTATTCTCGTCTTCGATTTGCATGCTAAGTTGGACTCTTGTAATTGGGGATAGGTGCTTAGTGTGGCACTGTAATCCGATACGCTGTAGTTGCACTCCTATATGAGAATATTATTTTGAATTGAATCGATGGAAATAACAGAGATATATTTAATTTCAAGGTCTCACATCCGCTCATCCTGAAACGTTTGGAGTCCAACAATTGGTTTTTATATACTCCCGTATTTAAAAATAGAGGATTATTATATGGAAGCTATAGTATGGCTATCTAGAACCTGTAATAACAGGTCTATCCGCAGGAGAGATATCTTCCACGCGCCAGCTTCTGACTATCGTCAAAGGCAGCCCTACTCAATCTCCAACCGCATCGCATCGTACTGCACATACGTGGATTGTGCCAACACCGCGCTCTCGTAGTCAATAGCGTTATATGGCAGACTGAGAGTGAACTCATTAAGACCCTCGACCAACAGCGACGTATCAAACGCGAATTTGTTGTCGATGTTGTAGCAGATAACAGCCGACCGCACACCGCAAGAACTGCTGTGGTAGTACCTATGACCAAGTTAGCTTTCTGTAACCCCTATCCAATACTGACAAAACTTACGGAATAACCCAAGGCTTCAGGTCGCGCCCATTAACCGCAACGGTGTATGGGAGATTCGCAAAGGGCTCCGACGCGTTATACACATCCGTGTTTCCCGCCGCAGTCTTCGCGCCCGCAAGCTGCACCGTGAAGGTTGCCTTCTTCTTGTGATTGAGCTCCTTCTTGGTCAGATCGAACTGGATGGTCCAGTTATTTACATTCTCGTAGTAGGGTTCCGTGCGCACCGAGTTCCCGTAGCCTCCGAAGACACTCCAGTGAATGTAGTTCAGGTCCTTGCCGGCATCGCTCTCGCCCACCTTGTACACGACGCCGTTGGGGAACTCGGTGGGAAAGTCATATGCGGCCCAGTAGTTGCGATATTGCTCAGGCTGTAATGGTTTTTCCAGGTTCAGCTCGTATCCGTGCTTATACTCGCCCGCGGACTTGTCGGGCGTGCCGATGCGCCAGATTTCCTTGCCGGCGCTCTCCTCGCTCCAGTTCACGTGTGTGTTCTGCGTCTTGCGGGCCTTGACCACAATGTTGTCTTGGGTGTACTGCCCGAAGATACCGTCGGCGTAGATGGTCAGTCTGTAGGTGCCTTCCTTGACGCGGGGGATCTCGACGTTGCCAGTCTTCGGGTTAATGTCGGCCCAATACTGGTACGCTTTCGTATCTTGGTCATTGTCTTGGAAGTCGACACCGTTCTGAGCCAAGACAGCGAGCGGCTTGGTGGCACCCTTGGGGAGCTTGACGTGTCCCTTCCAGGTTCCACGCTTGGTGGTTGGGACATAGTTTGGCACGTACTTGGCAATGTCGTCGTAGAAGTCAGCGTTCCAGTCTGGTGAGGCGTACTGCAGAGCGTCCTGGCGGAGCTCTTGCAGTGTTGTCGTTGGGGAACCCTTGTTATAATGGAAATATGACTGTGGGTGGTTAGAATATGAGTGTGATTAATGGCAATTGCAGGACACTCACTGGGCCGAATGTGCGGTCGAATCCATCAGTGATGTTGGGAGTGCCATCACCATGGTGGTTGCTCACTTTCTAAGAATCAGTAGTTGATGGGTTCAGATTGGTGTATTTGACTTACCCATGTAATTATACACAATACCATCTACGACCAGATCCGAATGCAATGGTCCTCCGAAGTAAGTATCTTTGACACCCATAACGAGCCAGGCACCAAAAGTGCTGCCATCGTTACTGTACTTGCCGTCCGCGTACATTCCGTGGACATCATGGTCTCTCCAGGTATCCTGGAAAGTGTACTTGGTGAAATAATCACCCTCCTGCTGCACGTATGGATCATCCGGTGTGTTGCCGAGGTACCAGGTTGCATCCTGAACAGTAACCTGCTTCGCCTTGGCCTCTGTGGACGGCAAGGGTGCGTATTGCTTCTCATTTGTGGAGAGATCGGTCCACAGAGCTGTGTTCGGGCGGAACAGAGTGCGGAACTCCTGTAGATTTCTCAAAAAGGGAGTGGTCTTGTTGTTATAAGTAAGTCGGCTGAAAGTGTGCAGGCCGGTCTCTCCTTCTCTCAGGAACCAATACTGCTCAAGAACCTGACCAGTTGCTGGATAGGTCTCGCTCATCACAATGCCTCCGTACTTAGTTTTGGATGAGTCGGTGCCATTGATCAACTGATACCTAGGAGCGAGGTGCCCGGGAGTATAGAAGCCCGACGGGGTGCAGTAACAGTCGAGATATGGCCCAAGGCCGCTTGCTCCATTCCCGGTAGCGCCTCCTGGTGTTGGGTTTTCATATCCAGGGGCACCAAGCAAATCTTGTCCATCTAAGCTCAGATTCTGGATTGCGCCAGTCGTTTTGTTGACGGCAGCATAGAGTCTGTCGTTGGCGATGACCAATTGAGGGCCTGTATCCTTTGCAGTAAGGAATGCCCGAGTAGGGGCAACAAGATTCGAGAGACAAACGAAGAGCGGAACAATCGCCAAAACTGACTTTGATTTTGCCATGATGACTGACGGATAGGGAATTCAGAACTCGCCTTGATCGCTGAACCACTCACAAATGGGTAAACTCCATGGTTTTGTAGTTCTCGCACTCCCCAGCTTGCCATGGCCGGCTACTGCGCCTAATGACGCAGTCAGATTGCATTTTTCTGGGGAAAAGAGAAAAAGAGGCAGATCACTATGGAATGCTTCTGATCTGGGGTATGATACCCCGACGTGCCCGAATTGCGACATGGTTATTTTGTCAGTTTGTGGGGATAAATGAGCTAGATTGCGGAGAAAGGCGGGGAAGCACTTTGGAGGCGTTAATAGAGTAGCTTTCCATGAACGAGATTGCCTGTCAAAGTACGCCGCCGTTGTTTGCCCTCGGTTCAGCAATATCATACCATGACAGTATAGTATAGTAATATTATATTTCCCCGCGCTTTCGGGGTATGTTAGCCAGCCAGGTACAGTGGAGTGTCGAACGAAGCGCGTAAGTGCCCCGAACTGATTGGAGTATTACTCTAGGTTGTTTTGATGGACGGAGTCAATTTCTCCGTCGATCGTCTATCCCCCCATGCAACACGCATAGAGCCCGCATACTACTAACATAACCCAGCAATAAACTTGAATAGCGTCGTTCTCTACCAACCGCAACAATCTCCGCAAGGGTAATAGGGTAATGGTAGCTTTATTCTAAGAGCCGACGGTTCATAAGCAAATTGTCAAAGCCCCTCCCCGTGACATATGTCATCACGGCTCAAGGGGTAGCGCTTGTGAAGGTCTGCCGTGAATATCATAACATGTAGTGCATTTGGGGTAATCTACCGCCTCTATAACTCGCTATAAATCGTTCCGGAATGCCGAGTTTAATATATGCAGTTGCAGCTAAGCCTGCCGTCCCAAGCATGCTCGAGGGATGATGAGCATGACGGACGCGCGGTTGGTTGTATAAAAAAGGTACGGTAGATCTCGTTTTCTGGGTGTTTCGTATCCTTCCATAGCAGCTTGGCAAATTTATACCTTATTTCAAAATGAGACTCAGCATCTTGGCATCTGCCCTGGCAGTTGCCACCCAAGTTCATGCCAAAGGCCCTTTCCTGAAGACAATTGGTCCCGAAGAGCACATCATTGGCAATGATATCTGGAACGTCACTATTGGCAAGCAATATGGCACGAAGCTCTTCTATAAGAACAGGGATATAGTGGGTAACGCAGTTGGGCACTATGCGAGCTACAGTTAGTTCAACTATCCTTATCACATCACCTCCCCAGTAACTAACATAATTACAGATGGCGCAGCATCAGATCTGAGTTGGACTACCGTATCTATCCATAAGCAGACCAAAGACTACTTGGATATTTCCTTTGAAGCTGCTGAAGGAGAACTTCATTGGGTTATCCAACCTGAGCTTGCTGGGGCATATCAATACTTTGTTAACCGCGCTCTTCCGATCCTTGGAGAGTTTAGAACTCTCTGGCGTCTTGACAACACGACCTTCTTCAATGGTCATACGTCGATCAAGGATGAGGCTTTGCCAACTTCAGCCGATATTGCTGCCGCAACCAAGGTCCAAGATGAGACATGGGTGAAGGAGGATGGCACATATATCACCAAGTATGACTGGCAGGCCTTACTCCGAGACCAGGAGTATTATGGCGTGTACGGTCCTGGGTTTGGCAGCTGGTACATCAATGCGGGAAAGGATGAATACAATGGAGACCATCTAAAGCAAGAACTGATGGTGCACCGAGAGACTGCAACAGGAGATGTTGTTCAGCTAAACATGCTTCACGGGACACACTTCATGGCATCGGCCTCTGATGCTTTCCCAGTTGGCAAGGTCTGGGGGCCATGGCTCTGGTATTTGGTGAGTTTGCCGACAAACATCTAATAATTATTCCGCTAACACATAATACAGAACGATGGCAGCCTCAATGATGCATCTCACAAAGCGAAGAAGGAAATCTCTACCTACCCATATCCTTGGTTTGACAACGATGCTTACCAGTCGCGCGGCTCCGTATCTGGAAAACTTATCCTCTCAGACGGTCGCCCTGCTTCTAATGCTGCCGTCTTCCTTGGCGACAACCACCCCAATGAGACCACTCTCGATATGGGTCGCTACTACTACTATACGGCCTACACTGACAAGGCCGGCAACTTCCAGTTCAAGAATGTCCGCACCGCAAGCTATGCATTTCAAGCCTGGTCCAACGGCGGTGCCATTGGTGATGTTTCGACGACTTTCATAAAGAACGATGTTGTAGTAACTAAGAAAAAGGGTACCAATCTAGGGCACCTCACTTGGAAGACTCAAGACAGGAGGAATATCTTCCAAATCGGGGATTTCGACAGGACGTCGTTGGGGTTCGCCTACGGAGGGGCACCCCACCAACACGCACTTGTGGTCAACTGCCCCGCAAACCTTACCTACACTGTTGGCACCAGTAAAACCTCAGACTGGTGCTTCGGCCAATCCGCTAAGGGGAACTGGACCGTCAAATTCAATGTCCCGAAGCTCCCGAACGACTCGTCCGCCGTGCTCTCCGTCTCGCTTGCCGGGTATTCCAGTGGCGTCAGCTCTACGATCGTTGTGAACGGCGCTACGACTGTGGGGAACCTTACGAGCGCCAATATACTGACTGACCCGTGTATGTATCGGTCTGGTACCTTGGCGGGAGAGTGGCATTACTACGAGTTCCCGGTTGAAAACGGGGCTCTGAAGAGGGGTTGGAATACTTTGGACTTCCAAGTTACGAGAGAGACGCTCTGGCATGGATTTATGTGGGACGCTGTCGCCCTAGACTACGCCTAGAGTAATCAGCCGTATGCCAGGTAGAAATATATTTTTGGAAAATATATTATTGCTGTCATATAATAATTTACAATTGTGCACAAAAATAATCTTAAAACTAAGCTATAAAATTTAGCCTCCGTAACTTTATAAAGTAAATCTCTCGACATAGAAAACAATGAATTCCGGCCATTACTACACTATTTCACTTTACATTACTTTGTAATCAAGTCGCCACCTTCGTTCCCCGCGAGATTTTTGAACCGCATATGCCGACACGTCAAACACGCCGAACCCCCCACCAATCCCGCATCACGGGGCTACCTCGGATGGCGGCACGCCGCGTGCTGAAGACTACCTGTGGGTCGCGGAGACCAACTCAGTTACTGAAATCAATAGTTTCGGCAGAGCCAAACAATGGGCTACCCAGGTTTCAGTTCATGGACCATCAGTGCGCCACTAAGTTTACAATTCCAGCGAGGCCCGAAGACGCAAGTTACAGCAAGCACACGAAGTGAAATCATGCCTGTCATATCTTTTTCGTAATTCGTATACAATAGACCTAAATGTATACCCTCAACCACTCTCCCAGTGCCATAATCGCCATCGCCTGTCCGTACGGCATGCTCGTGAGCGGGATATCCTTATAGTGCTGCAGCGTATCTCCCATCCCAGTGCCAAACGACACATTCTTCAGCTCTCCGTCCTCATCAATATTCTCTATGACGGCCTTGACGGCCTTGACAGCAACCTCCTCATACTCTCCTCCAATGTATCTCTTCCTCCTTGCCTTCATGAGTCCATATGCAAACCCAGCCGACGCACTCGCCTCCAAGTATGACCCAGTATCCTCCCCCTCGCTCAACAGCGTGCACCATAGACCCCCAGGTGTCTGCACCTTCTTGATCGCCACGCTCTGTGCAACCAGGGTATCTAGTAAGTGCGTGCGGATCGGGTCTCCATGTGGCAGATCAAGCAGCTCAATGTACTCCGGGATCACAATCGTGATCCAGGCATTCCCTCTCGCCCACAGCGCCTCCGCGAAGTTGTGGCCGCCATCCTCGAAGGTCCAGCCGTGGAACCAGAGCCCCGTCTTCGTGTCAAAGAGGTATTTGATGTGGATGAGGAACTGGCGCGTCGCCTCGTCCACGTAGTGTGGCCTGTTGAGGACTTTTCCGATTTTAGCGAGAGGTAGGACGGTCATCATCAGAGTGTCGTCCCAGAGCTGCTGGGTGTTGGGACCGAGATATGTCATGTGTTGCATGCCACCGAACTCAGTGCGGGGGAGATCATGGTATGCCCACTCAGCCCAGGCGTCGAGCCATGGGAGGTAAATTGGGTTGCCGGTTTTCTCGTAGACGTAGGCAAGAGTGAGGAAGACGGCCATGGTGTTGATGTTCTTGGTGGTGCCGCCGGCCTCGAAGCGGTTCTTGAACCATGCCTCGATGATCTGGAGGTACTCCTCTTCGCCGGTCAGCTCGTAGTACTTCCAGATACCGTAGAGACCGACGCCGTGCGTCCATTCCCAGTCGTTCCAGCCCTTGGTGTCGATAACGCGGCCATCTGGAAGGCGGAGAAGAAACTCGCCGGTGGTGTCTGTAATGTTCACGAGGTTGTTGATGAGGAGCTTGACGGCTTTGTGCACGTCGGCCGCATCAACGGCGTGAGCTGTTAAAGGCATTTTTGGGGACTTGAGGGATATTGCGATTCTCTAGATGCTACTGTCGCCTGTCAATTGGATGATCTGAATCCTAATCTTTCAACTTTGCAAGGACAGCACGGTTCACTCGGATGAAGATGACAGGAACAGCATTTCAATCATCACAAGCCTCGGGCAACTTTCGTTTTGGGGGAATTTCGTCGCGGGGTATCATAGCGAGCACCGAGATGCACCGACGCCAAGGGTGGGCACCAATAGCGGGATTACAGCGTGGGCCTCCCAAACTACAACGCGTGCGCTGTATCTGGATCTCTTCAAAGTTATTTCCCTTGGCCCGCACGAAGCTAGAGTAGGAATGGCGCTGCAATATCCATTCAATACGCGCAGTTTCCCTGACTCCGTGGGGTCCCCGCAGGGGGGGTGGGGTAATGAGTGACATGACTAGGATGGGCTGTGGAGTAAGGTGGGGGTGGCTAACCAGTAATGGGCTCGGGGGTCGGGGAAGAATATCGCGAGTATAGGATCACATTCGAGGAATAATTAATTTACGCTAATTATTATGCTAGCAACTACTAACATGTTCCACATGGAAGCTTTTATGGAGAAGCTTGAATGTGGCCGGGGGGGCGGGAGTGGCTTTTGTATAGATATCCTGTCGCCGGCGACAACTTTCTGTTTTCTGCTCCGTGTGTGAGTTGACGCTTTCATTGGGATCAATTATCATTCTACCATTCTATTCCCATCGATACAATCACCGTCATGGCAAACGCCCCGGAAATCGCGGGCTTGGAGCAAGTCCCTGTCGACCAGACTGTCAACGAAAAGTCAGGGAAGGAATATGCTGATATCGGACATGTCGAGCGTGTGCTGTCCGGGAACGAAGACCTGAAAGATCATATGGATCTTAGCCGTATCGACGCCGAGGTCGCCAAGTATACGAGCGATGTCAGAGAGATTATCAGCGAGGAAGAAAGCAACAGGCTATTGAAACTTATTGATCGCCGTGTACTGGTTATCATGATTCTCACCTACTTCCTCCAGGCAATAGACAAGGGCACTCTGTCGTTTGCCTCTATCATGGGGATAGAACCAGACCTCCACTTAGTTGGGCAAGATGTATGAAATCGTCTTGATCTAAAGACAAAACACGGATGGTAGCTAACTCCGCGCAGTATTCATGGCTCATCACTGGTGTCTACATCGCAATTCTCATTGTAGAATACCCAACAAATTGGATCATTACGAAGGTTCCCATCGCAAAGTACCTCTCATTCAACATCATCTGCTGGGGGGCTGTTCTGGCATGCCACGCCGCTGCAACAAACTTTACTACCATCTTGGTTTGCAGAATTCTCCTCGGAATTTTTGAGGCAGCTTGCCAGCCATCGTTCATTATTTTGTCCAGCATGTGGTTCAAGCGCGAGGAGCAGACTGCCAGGGTTACCTACTGGTACATGATGAATGTAAGGGCGTCCCAAATAATTACCATGTTTTATTAGTACTAACGCACACAGGGCGCGCAACAAGTCGTCGGCGGTCTTCTTGCCTATTGCTTCACCCTCATCGGCCGTGACAAGGTCATTAAATCTTGGCAGGCACTGTTCATTGCATACGGGGTTATCTCCGTCTTCTGGGGCATATTCGTTGGCTGGTGGATGCCCGATTCTCCTATGCGGGCTAAGTGTTTCAGCGAGGATGATAAGCGTAAGATGATTGAGCGTGTCCGATCCAACCAGACGGGAATGCAGAGCCGCGTATTCCGAAAAGAGCAGATGATCGAGGGCCTCAAGGACCCTCAAACTTGGTGCTATTGCTTGATTGCCATTTGCACCACATTGCCGACTAGTGGTCTGGGAGGGTTCGCCAACATTATCATTAAGAGTTTCAATTTTGAGACTCTGCAGGTTCAACTTCTTGCAATGGTTCTTGGATTCTACATCATAATCGTCTTATTTGCGTCCATTTGGCTAGTCAAGAAGACCAACCAGAACTTACTGGTGATGGCTGGATTTGTTGTCCCGTAAGTTACGCCATGGAATACATTGCCCCGATTGCCACTGACATATACCGCTTCTAGGTCATTCATCGGAACTATCGTCTTGATGACTGTCGAAAGTAAGAGCATGGCTACGAAAGTTGGCCTGTTGTTCTCATACTACCTCACCCTCTCGTTCTGGTCTGCGCAGACCCTCGCTTTATCCATGATTTCCCGAAACATCGCTGGTCAGACGAAGAAGGCGACAGTGGTCGCTTGTAATTTTATCGCCTGGTCAGTGGGCAATAGTATCGGCCCACAAGTATTTTTAAAATGGGATGCGCCGAGATACTTCATCGCCTTCGCCACTCATCTTGGATGCTACACTCTGCTCATGTTTGTGATCGCCTTCCTCCGCTGGTGGCTTCTCAGAGAGAACAAGAAGAAGGACCAATTGGCTGCGGCTGGTATTAGGGAGGCGGCCGACGATAACATGACGCATGCTTTTGAAGATTTGACGGATCGGGAGAACCCCAACTTCAGGTACATCTTTTGAAGTGCCATATACGAAGTACATTTAGCTTTTGCGAGTCAAAGACGATTCTTGTTGTTTTAAGATTATTCTGATTATTATAGATATAGATATAGAAGTGCTGGTAATTCTACCTTTTTGTTTATTGTTCGGCCCTCATATGAACCCCTGAACTGAGTGTAACATAACTACGCTTGATACTATTAGAAGTCAATGTATCAAGTCTTAATATTCCACATCTACATATAATCTAAGCATTGCCCAAATCGTTCCAATGACCAGATATATATAGCCTTCAACGTCAAATACACGCCACATCAGTCATGATAAAGATCAAACATTTCCATCCTGATTGTATACCTATTATGCCACTAATTTTACACTATCATACATTCTGTATCATTCCTCGCTCAAAAAAGACCAATCTGCTTCCCCACCCTGTCGGCTATCCTTCCAAACGCCTTCGCACGATCGCTATCTGGCTCACTAACCACTGTGGGCTTTCCCCGATCGGCATCATCACAAATGCTAGCATGCAAAGGAACATCGCCTAGAAACTCAATACCGTGCTTTGCGCAGGTGTTCTCAATGCCAATACCATGGCTTGAATTCTCACCGCCGCCAAAGATATGAGTGCCTTCCTGACAATGCGGACAGATGAAGAGAGACATGTTCTGGACCATGCCCAGAATAGGGATATTGGTTTTCTGAAACATGCCGATGCCCTTGATGGCGTCTTTTAATGCTATGTCTTGCGGCGTTGAAATAATGATCGCGCCATCAAGCTCGATTTGCTGTGTGATGGTGAGTTGCGTGTCCCCGGTTCCTGGAGGGAGATCCAGAACGAGAACATCGAGTCCACCCCAGTCAACCTCGTGGAGAAGCTGTTGGAGCGCTTTCATAACCATCAGTCCCCGCCAGACAACAGGGGCGTCTTGCCCAACGAGGTAGCCCATGGACATTGACTTAAGGCCATAGTTTGAAAGAGGAATGAGTTGGTTATCTGGTAACTGTTAGATTTTTTCTTCTTTACCGATCAAATTCTTGGCATTCATACTTGAAGAAAGGCGTGGCTCCCCAGAGAGATTGAGAAGAGTGGGTATCGAGGGCCCAAAGATGTCCGTATCCAGAATGCCACTGCGAAGGCCACTGCGAGCAAATGAAAGCGCAAGGTTTACTAATCTGCAATTAAAATTTGACACCTTATTTAAAAAGTGTAGTTTAAAAATACCTGCGATGGTGGACTTGCCAACACCCCCTTTGGCTGAGGAAACAGCTATTACTTTCTTCACATCTTTGATGCGTCTCCGTTCGGGCAGTCCTCGCTGCATGCGCGGAATTGTCCCAGCGCGTGGCAATCCCTTTTTACCGAGTTAGTTAATTGTTAAGAAGCTGTACCGCAGCTAGCCCTACATACCAAAGGATTTTCATGCTGCAAAGCCCTCAACGTTGAGAATAATCGCGGTTTCATGATTTATGTATTTCCGGCCATTGTCTTGACTTCGCCATAAACTGCGATACATGTCGTTGGCTGCGTCGGAGGTACGCGGCCGCTAGCGCCGGAAGAAGCGCCAAGATTTCGAGGTTTTGGAGGAATTTCTTGAGAACTTTTTGGCGGGAGGAGCAACGGCAAAATCGCAAAGCCAACATCAGGATGGCAAAAGGAAAGGGCAGTTCGCTTGCGAAACAGCTTGCTGAGCTGGAAGTGAAGGCTCCTAAGGGTATGCAATGCACTTATATCCCAATGATTTGACTCTAAACTAATACAACCCAGATTTTGATCCCGAAGAAAATGAGGCACCGCTTCGAAGTGATGAGAGTGGTTCTGAGGAAGAAGACGAGAATTTGGGAACGGAGCATTATGTGAACGTTGGGTAAGTGACCTGTGCTTGTTTTTGCTTAATGTCATGGTGTACTGACAGTTTTTTTCTTCTAGAAAGAGCAAACTGCGAAAGCCCGCCCAAGTCGCCCTTGGCCCTCAATACGCCGGAGCTCGAATCAGCCGCAAGGATCTACTGAACAATGATGAGGACTCCGATATCTCTGGCGACGAGGAATCCACTGAGGAACAGGACATGGAGGATATCGTTGACCCTGATACTGTGGATCTAGACGCGGAAGACTTTGATGGAGAAATCAACAGCGACGATGCTCTTGGCGAAAGCGATGATGAGAAACTTAAGGGATTTGTCTTCCGTGGAAGTGGCAAGCCCAAATATGCAGTAGGTGGCGGCCCTAGCAAGAGCAAGAGAAAGACAGCTGCGGATTTTATGTCCGGCAGTGAGGACGAAGATGTCGATGAGATTGACTCTGAGGACGCCGAGGATGGAGGAGCAAAAATTGATGGAACCGACGAGTCTGGATCCGAAAGCCAAGAAGAGTTGCTAGAGGATGGAGATGAAGACGAGGATGAGGACATGGACGAGGTCGATGATGACGAGGACGAAGAGGAGGAAGATGACAATGACGACTCGGAAGAAGATAGTGACGAAAGTGAAGTAGGAGACGACGAGCAAGCTCGCCGTGCTGAACTACGAAAGATGATGACTGAAGAGCAAAAAACCGTCGTTGCTACAATTTCTCAGGCCGCGAAAGCCGATGCTGAGAAGGGCAACGCCGTCAAGGCTCAACGCAAGACATTCGATTCATTGCTAAATGTCCGCATACGCCTCCAAAAGGCGCTTGTAGCCACGAACTCCATGTCGTCTTTAGAGCAAAGCTCTGAAACTTCGACACCGTACAAGGCGGCCGAAGAAGCTGCAGTCAAGCTTCTGAACACTTTGAATGCTATGCGATCTGAGCTTGACAAGACAGCAACGAATTCAAAGAAGCGCAAGCACACTGCTGTCGATATCACAACATCTAACTCTGACATCTGGGCTGCTATCCAAGCCTCCGAGTCCCAATCTGTTCCGAAACGCCAGGCAACACTCGCAAAGTGGTCTGCGAGGGTTCGCGGTACAACCGCTGCTCCAATTTCTCGCAAGCTTAACAACGTTGCCGAGCAATCTATTGTCGACGTCCTCTCTGAGCAGCTCTCTGGTTCCAACGCAGAGCGCCTCATCAAGCGCACGAGAATGCCGCGCTCCTGCGCTCCCATTCAGGTCAAGGCTAAGATCACTGAAGATGAGAACATTTATGACGATGCGGACTTCTATCAGCTCCTCCTCAAAGAGCTGGTCGACCAGCGCATGGTAGATTCTTCATCCGCCCCATCTATGGGAGCCGGCGGCCAGCCGATTGCTCAGTGGGCTGCGGCCAAGGAGGCGAGGACGAAGAAGAACGTAGATACCAGAGCTAGCAAGGGACGTAAGATGAAGTTTACGGTGCACGAGAAGTTGCAGAATTTCATGGCACCGGAAGATAGGGGGCTGTGGGAGCCGGAGGCCATTGATCGGTTCTTCGGCACCCTCCTGGGCCAGAAAATGAACCTGGGAGAAGAGGACGAGAGCGATGATGAGGAGGCGCCTCTGGCGGAGGAAGCGTTGATGCTGTTCAGGTCGTAGATAAATAAATACTTTTATATATGTACCTCACTTCACTAGATGGCATCAGCAAGGAAATTCAAATCCTCATAAGCTAGATCTTGGCAGTGTTGCCCGAGTACTACTC